AGTCATTGAGCCTCACGACGGCATGAAAGGACGCAAAAGATGGGACGGGAGGCGTAGGGGATGCAGACGCGCAATTGCGGCACAGGGGCACTGCTCTGCCTCTTGGGGAGTTTACATAAGTTTGCCCGGTCCTTAGGTAAGTGAGTATTCCGTAAGTATAGGGTAAAATGTTTGTTATTACCGGGAGTAGGATGGGCAGGGTTGACCGCGAGGTGGGAGCTTCCCTGAAAGGAGACCGTCAGGATAATCCAGGTTGGTGATGATAGTGTATCTATTAAGGGTACTCTATCTCTTACTTCATACCCTCTGGGATGCTCTGCAGGGTATGAACCTGGAGCAAACATCACGGCGCGCGGATGCTGCCGCGACACAGCCACACTGGCCACGATGTTTTTCCTCCTTCCCTTCCTTCTATTCCCTCCAGGTTCTCCCGCCTGGGCTGTCCCTCGGTCGGTGCGTTGGGGGCCTCTTTCAGGGACCACACCGCCGGAGAAAATCGTCGTCAGCGGGTCCTGCCCAGTGCCCAGTGCCCAGTGGAAGGGAAAAGCGCGGGTGGCTGTGCAAACACATCGCTGTACTGCTGCAGAGTGGCCCCCCCGTAGCCGAAGCTTAGCACTCGAGGTGGGGACTCGCAGGAAACCCGCGTCCCGACGACAGCGGTGTCCCTCCGCTCCACTCCTCTCTGGGCTCCCTCTCCGTCATCAGCACCACCACCACCGCCGCCGCCGGGCCTCACTGAAGAAAAAAAAAAAAAAAAAGAAACCCTCCCCCCCCGGAGGCAATCGGGTGGCTGTGCTGCCTCTGTGCCGTCCCCTCGCACCCGCATCCGCAAACCAGATCGTGGCCCTGCCCCAGATCCAACCATCCACACACTCTCTCCAAAAGTTACTCTCCAGTGTCTCTCCCCAATGTGCAAAATGCTTGTAATTAGCACACACACACACCGTCAATAGACTGCGGTCACGACATGTGCATGCCACTTATGCATGGCTATTTTCATCCCCCTCGGGTCATCTTTCATCATTCGCATCAACCACAGCATGACGATGCTTACCGTACCTTACATTTTTCATCCCATCATCGTCATCCACATCCACCCACCCACCCCCCTTGACCACAGACCTAGGTAGAGAGCCACAGGTACGGGATACGGTTTACCCAGACAGGCCGCTGGTCACCAATGTGTGTGTCCTCGCGGCAGAGCGGAAACCTCGGGAGGAGAACCAGTCGCATCGTCGTTTATTCTCGCTGCCTAGCAAGACGGGACCTGGGCAACGGAAGGGAAAAAAAGGCGGCTAGGCTAGCTGAGGTCGCACAAAACAAGGACCCCAACGGTGCAATCGTGATGCTCCGAGAGCCTGATAGGGATCCCATAGGGCCAAGAAGGCCATCCCATCCCCGATCCGGCAATACCGCTGCTCACCCTTCGGCACGGCTATCCTATTCTCTCTCCAATGCTCCATCCTGATCCCCCCCTCCTTGCTTGACACTATTGCTGCCGATCTTCGCTGCCAAAATCACTGACCCTGTCGCGCTGTCGCGCTGTCACATCTGTCAGCCTGTTCCTGTTCCGTCATCCCTTGTTTCCGACAGCAATCGGATCGGGTTTCGTTATCCATATCCACATTATACCCGAGGTACGATATCACGACAGCAGACAGAATGATCACGAGCGAGAAGATGAGGAGTGATAGTGACAAGTGTCTCATTGTTTTATACCATCAAGCCTTGGGCCGTAATATAGTATAGGGTATCAATCAAAATGCTCGTGCAAAAAAACAACATGGAACGTATCCGTCCAATCATGAACCTCATGTCCCTACCGTCCTCGTACCTAAAGCCAGTCGTTGTAGTCCCGTACACGTCTGCGCCAAACCATGCAACACCAAATGTAGTGTAGAGATTTCTTTTTTGAGCCGCTCTTCAAGTCGCTTCCCGCACCGCAGAAAAACACAAAAACCAAAAATGTAGCATCCCAATGTGCCTGTCCTCCGCCGCCTTCCATTACTGAGCCGTCTGGCAGCTCTCAAGCATCGCCTGCATCTCCCGCAGTTGCTCCTCTGTCGGATCGTCAGAGATCCAGGGTCCCTTCTCCTCATCCGTAGCACCAAGGAAGCCCTCGGCACGCTTGAGTGTCTGCACGTCCAAGTCCGTCACGTAGTTGTTGCCGTCCGTGAGCTTGATGCGCACCTCGTGGTCCGTCGACAGCATCATGTCGTCCTTGGCCAACCGCCGGGGTCCATCAAACACTGCCATCACCCGCTTCTTCATCGTCATCTGGCCCTTATCGAAGCCCCAGGATGACGGGTAGTCGCGTCGGTTCTTGCGGCCCTTGGCCTTGACAGGCATCGGACCGCCTCCCCGGGAGTGGGTGAGGCCGCGCGACTTTTGAACACCGTTGATCGGGTTGCCCTTCCTCTTGGGCGACGCGCTGACGCGCTGCTTGCTATCTTCCTCGTCATCGTCCTCCATCATGTCCTCGTCGTCCTCCTCCTCGTTCAAGGGCATCTGCGTCTGCGTCGGAAGGTGATTCTTCTCCAACGTCTGGTGCACCTCCTTGTCGTTCTCAACCTCGGCCAGGCGCTGTGCGTTGATGGCCTCAGAAGGGTCCTCCTGTTGCACAATGCGCAGCACACAGTCGTCCAAGTGCTCGTAAAAGTCCTGAGCGTTGGAGAAGGTCTGCGAGCAAGTGGAACACTTGCCAGTGGCATCGGGAGGGTATCCCGCGAGCTTCTTGCCGCTGTTGGCGCTGCTGCTCTTCTTGCGACTGTTGGGCGGTGTCTGTTCGACGCCGTGGACGGCTGTCAAGTGGCGCTTGAAGACGTCGGCGCGGTTGAACGACTTCTCAGCCGCTGAACCGGAGCCGGGGCAGAAACCGCACACCATGGTTCCCTTGTAGTGAGTCAGGGTGTGGCGGTTCTTGTCGTACTTGCGAGCGAAACCCTTGACATGGTAATCGCAAGTCACAATGGGGCACTTTTCGGGCCTCTCAGTCTGGTGAGTGAGCATGTGCGCCTTGAGGTCCTTGAAGACCTTGCCGCACTCGGGATGGGGGCACCTCTGCTTCTCCTTGCCCTCATCGCCGCTGTAGTTGTTGCCATCAGAGTAGGTTGAGGGAAATGAGTGAAGGCTGGGGCGGCGGGCGTCTGCGGGAGTGGCGTAAGGGCTGAATTGCTGCTGCTGTTGGAAGCCGCTGTGGAGGAACGGTGATTGACTGCCGTTGCGAACCATTGACATTGACTGTGATGAGGGCGAGAGGGCGGGAGAGGTAGGATACTGATTGGGGTTCTGGAAGTTGCTCATCATGGGGCGGCTGATGTCGGGGTGGATCAGGGAAGGGTCTGGAGCGGAGAGGTGGTCAGCGGGCGTTCCGCGATAAGGATGATGCTGCTTGACAGAGGAAAACCAACAAGAAGAACCAAGAGGAGCGATGAAATGGCCGCTGCTCTGAGAAAAGAAAGTAGAGACTCGAGGAGCCTTTGGCGAATGGCCCCAGACGGGAGCCGGAGGAGAAGAGAAGGAAGTAGAGCTAGGAGAGACAAAGGACAAGCTTGACTTGCGCGATGCGGGCGTGACGGGGGATGAGGAGGACGAGTGAGTGTCCAGCGCCGAGCCCGAGTCGCGCACACGCACAGCTGAAGCTATAGCTGTATTTGTACAATGAGAGGAGCCAATTGACTCGTGTGAAGCAGAAGGAAAAGAAGAAAGCGCGCGAGATGAGGGCGCAAGAGTGGTTCTAGAAGCGTTTGGCAACTCACCCACGAAACCCGGGGGCTTGGTGTTTGCAAATTCAAAAGTTGCAAAGTCTTCCATACTTGGGCCGGCGTAGGTCGAGTACTCTGTACCGGCGGTGTTGTAGTAGTCGTGGGGCACGATGCCCGGGGTCACAGCGATGCCGGGGTGCGCCCAGTCGAGGATTGGCGCCGGCTGGTCGTTGTGGGATTGGGGCGAGCCTACGTTAGAAGAGGCCGCCGATGGTGCTGATGCGGTGGAAAGGTTGGAAGAAGGCAACTGGAACTCGGCGTCTTCGTACAGGCCAGGTGATGTGCGTCCTTGATACATAAAGTTGTTGTCGTAGAGGGCGGGCTGGTGATCCATTGCCATGGAGGTTGGGAACATGTAAGAGGCGTCGGCAGGGATGCTCATCTCCATGGGTGCTGTGCTGAAGACTCCCTGTGGTGGCTCGGGATAAAGGATGTAGTCGTCGCGGTGCTGGGGGCTCAAGTGCCTGGGGAGCATGGTATATGACTGGTCTATCGAAGCCATTTTGTAGGTAGAGATAGACGTGTGTGCGTGTGTGTGTATATGATGATGTGGTGAAGAGAAGGGAAAAGGGTGATGATCTGTGGAAGGCCTCTCGGTCAAGTCCGAATTGCGAAGTCTTCGAGTTGATGTTATATGGTTGGTTGGTTGGGTTCGCTCAAGCCGAAGCAAAGCCACACTCTTCTCTCTGTTGCTTTTATGCCGTCACTGCTAAGATACCCGCTGCTGTCAGTCGTCTGTACTATTTGACCTGCTAACAACTGCTGCGCTGTGCTGCGCCTGCTTGGATGTGGGGCTGATGAGCGCACCTGCAGCGATGTTCATGCCCGCGGCGTTTCCGCGTTGTGAGGTACCGGGCCGTTAGATGATTGGCGAATGCGTTTCTCTCTTTCTCCGAGCTTTGCTTTGCTGGCGGTAGTATGCCTCCGAGGATATGGTTTGTTCCTGACTGACTACGAAAGGACGTATTGCCGCGCAAGGTAGTCAAAGTGTAGTAACAAGTGAGTGAGTTGTTGTGCTTGCTGGTGAGAGTGAAGCAAGTGACGGTTTGGGTGCAGGATGTCTTTCTCGAAAACGTGAGACAGACTACTCTGCTAAGTGATGGACTGTGTCGTCTTGGTGTCGTGGGAACCCAGAGATCTGGGTCTGATAGATAGGTGTAGTAGAGACTGATGGGGGCGAGAAACAAATCACCAAGAGCCTTGGGGGCTTCACGACTGATATAGACCGGCTGCGAGCTACGCTCTTGTCAAGAGAGAGAGAGAGAGAGAGACAGACGCAGAGACAAGAGACCACCACATCTTGCAGACCGGGGGCACATGGGTTCGACGGCCGTGGCTTGCTTGCTGTTGGCACTTGGGACCCGGTGGACGACGCGGATCAGTCTCCTCCAGATGGTGAACCCCCAAAAAGGACAGGGGACCAACACCCAGGGGGCGGAGGGGTGCTTTTCCTGTAATGTCGACACTCGTAGGGCAGAGCAACAAGTACAAAACCGACGAGAGCGAGCAAGCGGCAGCGGCAGCAGCAACGCCAGAGCGAGAGGCGGTACCGTACCGTACGCCGAGCTTGCGGCAGGGGTCAGGGGGTGGACGAGCGGAAAGGGGGCGTGGTGGGGAGGAGGGTGTGGGCGTGAGCCATGTCCATGAGGCGTGTGGGTGTGTGTGGATGGTCCAGAGGCGGCTTCTTCGTCCCTCGCCTGTCTGCGCCATCTCCTCTTGTCCCCTCTGCTTCCGTGGATACCTCATTTAGCGCAAGATACGCACCAAAACGAACTAGCCTTGCTTGACTTGGCTGGGGGCTCGGCCTGAGGACACCAGGAGGTAGAGCCACGAAACAGCGTCCATTCCAGACTCGGGTTTTCGACACTTTCAAGAGACTGGGAGAGAGAGAGAGAGGGGGGGGGGGGGGGGGGGGGCGTGTCCTCTATTGTTGTCTCTGCCCACCGATGCGGGATGCCAAGATCTGTCTCTGAACTGGTCTCTCATTTCTATCCGTTGTGCTCTCTGAGCCGTCTGCCGCGGTGGTGTACCACAGAGACAGACATCCATTAGCTTTGGAGGGAAAAGGAACCATCTGTCGTCGACAACTTCTGTACGCCGTGTGCGTGGATGGAGACCGGTATCTGGGAATAAGATGGTGACGGTCAGCCAGCCATCCATAGAGATGGGCACCCAACTGACCCGGTACTCAGTACTTCGCCGGTCGAGCTGGTGGCCTCCCACAACCAGGCTTCACACCCACTGCCACGCTACAGAATGGCAGCCAACACCCCCTGGGCCAATGCTGACCAGGGCCGCCAAACCCCCCAGCAGCTCGGGCCTTGGGATACCCTAGCACAAAGAAGCACGGTAGAAGATACTTCTCGCATGTACAGTCGGCTTGCGGAGCAGCATCAAGTTGTGTGGTGACCCTGGTATATGGCAAAACTCCCCTTGGGCGGTCCAGCACTCTCGGGTCCTGTCCCAGTAAACGCGAGGGGCCTGACAGGGGCCCCAAATGAGACAGGCAGCGAAGGTGCAGATGCTGTGCGAAGCATTCCCAGGCAGTGACTTGTCAGGCCTGGTGCCAAGTTGGTAGTTCCCGTCCTGCAACTGTATCTATCTTATTTCGTAGCCTGTTGCCAGCGTACGAAGAAGCAGCCGTTCCCCCGCCAGTCAGGTGTGGTGCTGGGGGCGTCGCTCTCCGCCGCCGCGGGATGCCGTCGGTATGATTTGGATCTATTGAGCCGTCTACCGTGGTAGGTGTTGACGTCGCCGCAACCGGGTCGCAACGCACCACACCAACTTCCTAAGCACCCCGTAGGGCTCAACCATCCGTTTCCGCTCTGCTGCCGGCCATGCGTCCAGCGTCCCTTGGTTCGTCCTCCATGAACAAGGACATATGTTGGATCGCCGGTGTATGTGCAGGTCATGTTGCGAGGCCGGTCTGCACAATGACAGAAGTATCCGTACAGATACGTCTCTCGGTCTATGCAGCGCTTTCTTCTTTGTATCCCACTCTCCCATCAACTCGTACATCAAAAAAGGCGTCGCAACTTTGGTCCGTTCCGTAAAATTCAAGGACCTGTAAACAACGAGCGGTATATGCAAGGTCCTGCATATGCTGACGGACGTAAAGCAACGTGAGGGTTCGAAAAAGAAAAAAGAAAGTTGACTTGGAAATAGTGTGCATGAAGCACGTCCAACAGCCACAGCCCCCTTTCGCCAACCTCAGAGCCAAATGTGGATAGCAAGAACCAAAGTTGTATCTTGGAGCGACAAGAACTCGCCAGTGTGCGTCAGATGCGTCAGTGACAGCTAATGCGCTCCGCATGTTGGCCTCGAAATGGCATAATCTCACTCCCAAATGGGGTTCATCGTGAGCAAGGGGGGAGCGGGTTATTGTGGAGGCACTGGCGGGAGGTGCTGCTGCGGTGTACTTTCTCCCACACTCTGCGAGTCTGTCTGTACCTATTCGCACTCTGTATCTGTAGTGTACGTTGCGCCAGTACGCATTTGGTGTTGCGTTGCTTACTCTAGGTCAGGTGTTGAGGTGGTTGAGGGGCGGGATATTTTTACTCACTGCACACTGCGGGTGCTCGTGCTGTGCTGAACAAGCCTCCTTCATCCCAGTCCCAGGGATCAATCTCAGTGCGATTTTGGACATGAGTGTGGGAGTTGGTCCAATGAATGGCGTCGCGCCTCTCTCCACGCTTGCAGCCCGTGGCAGCACTTTGGTGTGCAAGCCGGGCCCGCCTCCGACTTGTTGGTGTGCACAGCCCGGCCTTATCCGTCCCTCTGAGTTGTTAGTCGGAGCCTTTAGAGGTTGGACATGACATTAGATGTACTGCAGTCACCCCATATCGTGCTGTTCCAGGCGGTGCCTGGAGTGTGGGTAGCACTGTCGACTGGATATAGCGACCTCGAACCATTCGACGGCGCCTGTGCCTCCTCAAAAATAATGGGATCATGTACGGGCCGGAGAGAATCTGTACCGATCCAGCGCTTTGTGACGGCCACTAACGTTGCTGTTCCTCCCGCTCTGCCTTGAGATGACAATGCGTGTCAGCATCTTGTTCGTGATATCGTGTCCCAAAACGGTATCTGGGGAGCTCAATCTTGTCAAGCCTCCAAGTTCCAGTGTGCGGGAAAGCTTGCATCGTACATGTTCTACTAGCAGAGACAATAAGGTGGGCTGGTGGTTCAAAGTCTTCGTTGAGAACAGCCGTCCGGGCCCCCGGCCACGACACGCGGCAAAACATCGACTTTCGAATAATCACGACGGCCCAAATAGAGTTCCACGACCGAAGCGGCGTGACTGAGTCTCTTGTCTGTGATGCCATGCCAATCCGGGCTGGCGGGTTTGTTGGCTGGTCCAAGGGTTCAGACGTTGGAAGGGTTCCAGAGCCGTTCGGTCATAGTCATTGCACGCTAGACAAACCACGTCGCGGCAGCGTTCTCTAGAGGCGTATTCCATCCAGTCGATGGCCAGAGTTCGAAATGGCCCAGTCCGAGACTTGATCTTTGGTGCAACCGGCCCCTTGGGAAATGTTTGTGCGGCAGGTGGAGACCATACTTCTGGTGGTTAGATGCTTCTTTTCGTCCTCAGTCCTCATGCCACCAAGCACCGGCCACGATGAGACAAAAGGCTAGTGCCGACCTCTGGAAGATTCACGTTGTTGCCATTCAACGCCTCGTCCCCATTGTGGCAGGCAAACCAGGGCTTCCAGATAGCCTTTCTCGGTTTGTTGCTTTGGCGTTGCCTCGCGACTACTTGCCCTGGCGGTCTCAAGTCTCTGCAGAGTATGACACGTCGAACTCCTGGATAAGTATGTGCGTCGCATCGGGTTGGTGAACTCGAGACGTGAAGCCGGACCATTGGAACATCATCATCCGCCGGCGTACCAAACAATGCTTTCTTGCTAGCGCGCAGGACTGTGATGGAAATTGAAGTATTTCACTAGTCTGCGTGGGATTACGGCCGTTGCCGCACGGGCTGAACAAGGGCAATCTCTCTTTCTTTCTCACTCTCTGATGTCGTTAAGTCACGACGATGTTGCTTCTCGAGTTATCGCTAATGCTCTGGAGAGTAACATTGTCCAAAGCCTAGTTCGCAATATCAGTCGCATTCAGACGTACACGCATAGGGTGGTTTCGCTTGGCGAGATTCGATGCACTATTGACCAAAGCATTCCGCATCATGGGTCGCCAACCGGGGCAGCTCACACGAGGCACCCATGGAGGCCATGGGGAACTCGAGTCGTCTCCGCACTGCAAAAAAAACTGTAGAGAGCCGACGTGGTATAGCATCGTCCATCGAGACATGTCGCCCGATCAGGAATAGCGGTGGCTCATCTGCCCGAGACCATCATTGGAAGCCTCTGATTGGTGTCTATACGGCTCCCACTATCCTTGCCGTGGAGATAGTCAAAATCTTTAAAAAGATATCCAGGAGGCGGTGCAACCTTGCCGGCGCTCACCAGCCCCGATGAACCCCAACCTTGCCAAGGGCAGCCACTCAGATGCCACGACGGGTGAGGGCAGTGTTCAATGACTTGCGCATCCACCAATGTTTCATGCTCGTGGCACGTAGTGGTACCTCACACTCGCGGGCTTGACTCCATCCCGTTTTCCTGGGAACATGGACGCGCCTTACCGACCCGGGTTTCTGAGAGACAAGAAACCCTGCAGTCATCAAACGTGGAAGCATGTCGATAATTGGCAATTAACATTGCCTGGTCCACGGGACAGAGGATGATGCATGTACGAATATCTGGAGGTAGCATTCTTTGCACGGCGTACTCCTTCCGTCATCTCGTGTTTATAGCAACGTCATGTGTACTCCTTGCGACCCATACAACGCTATCCATTGATCGCTGTGCTCGCAGGATGCTGACTTCGGCAGTCGGCTCTTGTGGTCACCGAGGATGAGTAGGCTCGTTCCGAGCAACGCAGGTAGGGATGTCGTGTCGACTTGGAGGTGGTGGTCGCCGAGACTCAAAGATTCTCGCCGGAGCTTGTGGTATTAGTTTGTGTCTCCGATTCCGAAAGACGTTTGGTCAGAAAAGTTGTATGCCGGCCGGGAGTTGCAATGCTCTAGAAACCAGTCAACCGGAATTTCCCATGCTCTTCTTCCTCCTCCTTTCCTTGGCGCACCTGTGCGGGTTGCAAGCGTCATCTCATCTTTGGACCCGCGCGCCATTGCTTCGAATGAAGCAGTCCGTAAGTGAGACTCGACCAATATGGTCAATAGCACGGGGCAGCGAGGCCCCCAAGCCCCTTGTTCTAAGAGCACACATTGCATGTTTTCGTTTGGTGGCTTGCTGAACCTCAAGGGTCTTCGTGTGGAGCCAGGGGACGGGAGCGATCCCGCCATTTCGAGGTATAACCAGCCAGCCGGCGTTGAATGAAGAGACATGCAGCACGCAAGCCGCTCCTGTGCCGCCCAGTCTTTTCCCATAACCCGCGCGTCGGGATCTTTCGACGCCGCCGTGCGTCCTGTCAAGTAAAGCGAGTCTGCGCCCAGAGAAGTCGTCGACCCTCAGCCTTATCGAATCAACGGCACGCCCTAAAGACATTGACTGGAGAGGCTTCGTCGGGTACCCTGATGATATCCAAGACTCACAAAGACTTCTTTTCCGCTCCTCCTGCCCGTACTCAGGGGGTTATCATGCATGTCAGAGCATCGTGAAAAGATTGTCGCAAAATCTTTCGGCAGACGCTTAAATTTGCAGTCGGACGCAGGGAGGATGGCACGTTAGAGGGTGACGGCGCCGAGCACCAATCTGAATCTTTCATTGGCTCAACCGACTTGACGTATCGCCTCGCCGGACATTCTAGCGTCCGTTGCACTGGCTCAATTTTGGACGATTGCGGCCTCCTATGCCGCCGCGGCCCGGCCACATCATTGGTCGCGTTTGAGGTATTAGAACCCGACTCTATAGTGAATTAGGGGTCGCTTGCTTCACTGATCATTGATGATGTGGGGGACGTGCGAAGACAGCGAGGACCGTCACTTGGGCAGTGCTGACCGGGTAAGCCAGGACCAAGGGGCGAGAGAAGAGCGAATGGGAGGCGTGGGCGTGGGCTCCCGGGGGGTGGGCAGCAGCGAAGCATTGGTCGGGATAGTTGAACGATTGCGCCAACCAGAGAGAGGGAGATGTCGAAATCAGTGGGTGAGATTTGCGCATGTTTGTGTGCGGGATCGTGTTCTCGTCTGCAATTGTATTGGCCACATCCGACTGTGCCGCCTGGCCGGTGCATAACCATCGCTATGCGGGGGGTCGTATTCTATCGAAAAGCAGGTTCATGAGTGATCCCATGACTGACCGACAGCGTGCAAGGCAAGTCAAGACGGCAAGCTTGGCGAGGGTGCAAAAAATGCTGCAGGGTGGAATGGGCCGAAGGGATGAGACGATCTTAGTGACTTTGACAGTCCGTACAATGCAATGGCAGCCGCCGTGGTATGGTACTTTGGAGTAAAGCAGTCGGTGGGATCGATAATACGACTTGGGCAATGGCCGGCGATAGAATCTATCCGTAGAGTCTAGACCAGTCCGCAAGGTGAGCGATCCCACACAGGACGACAATGATGGTCCACTGACCCAAGAGATTGGGCTACATCCGATGCGAAGTTTGGTACGCGCAGATGGCGATTCAGGCGAGCCGGGACGATGCTTGTCTGGGACAAGGAACATGGTGCCGAAATCCATCATGTTGGCGGGGGGCTCAAGGCCATTAACGAACTGTTGATTGTGAAATGAAGTCTCATTCTTCTTCTGGCAAAGGTAGACGAGGGCGAGCCGCGAAGGGAACAGAGTATCCGTAGGTACCTCGAAATTGGCGTCAAGGGCGGCATGGTATCGTATCTTTCGTCGTATGTTTCTGGCCGGCCCCAGAATGTTGCATCGGCAGTCGGATTTGGATCATGGATCATAGAGATGACCTCGCAGTTCCAGTCCCATATCGGCGTTGAGGCCCAACGATGGATGCTTTTGTGTATCCGTACCGCCGGGCCCCTTGCCGTCGACGCCAGCGCCAGCGCGACTCCTGGGATGCTTCGTTTTTCTGATTCTGTCGTGGTGCCCCCCGCCCCCCCAAGCAGCAGGCTACAATGTAGTATTGATGAAAGCGCATGTGTGGCTGATGACACTAGGGAATCTGAGAAACTGGGTATCGGGATGGACTTGGTGGGAGGTGGGAGCATCCATAGGGCTGAGTCTGCCAGCCACCGCCGGGCTGGCAAACTTGCAAGCGCAGCAGGCAGTCACAGTCGCAGTTGCAGTTGCAGGGAGGGTGAAATCAGGGGAAAGGGAAGGCGCCGTCGGCTTCCCCTCCTCCCTCCTCTGCCTCTCGTTGCGCAATTGCTGAGGTAAGGCGGGAAATCACAAAAGGTACCTACCCAAGGTACTTCAGGTATGTATCCGTACCTTCTTGAACATCACAGGAACGTAGCGCCATCTGGCGCGTGTCTTTCTTTCCTCGCCTCAGATACCTTATCGAAAGCATACGAATATCCATAGATGGACCCAAGTTCTCAACCATTCAACACTGAGGAGAGGAGTATCCGAAATTAGCTCCTGCTTTTGTCGCGATTGGCTCCTCTTAGAAACCGCATTTCCTGCCGGGGCACGGGGGTGTTGTACTGTGGTAGAGACAAGTGTCGCGAGCGTCAGGTGTGGGCACGAGGCGATCCTGCATCATCTTCCATGCTGTTGCTTGTTGTTTGCTCGAATCACTACGGAGTACGCAGTACCCAGCTAGCCAAGATGCGGAGGTGAGGCACAGACGGAAGCACAGGGTAGGGCCACAGGATGCAGATGCTCGAGACACCGACACCCATCATCCGAATGCTTGGGACGAGACGGACGGGACGACAGGCAGGCAGGTGCAGGGATAAACAGCGCAAGGGTCATCGGTACTGCCTACAAGTACCTGCCTCTCCAGTGGAAGGGAGGGGTACTCTGCACGGACCATTCCATTTCCTATTTGGGCAAGCTGTGCGATAGCCTCACCCTCAACCTTCCTCCACTTGCTGGCAAGTTGAAGCCATTCGGCAGGTACGGACACCTTACGGTGAAGTGTACAGATTGGAGATCTGACTGCTAATGTCCATAATGCTACCTTACTCCGTCCGTACGGACTTAATCATGCTTGCATGCTACGCAATTACAAGAGGCTGTCTGTCTGCCTGGTACGCAGTACATCCAAAGTGTACTGCGAAGCAGTTCGAAATTGCCTGAGCACCCATGGCCCATGGGAGTCGAGACCAAACATGACGGGAATGCGGTTTGATGCTCAGGACTGCTTGAACGCCAACGGTAAACCCCAAACCATTTGATTCTGAAACTGAACCCATCCTACCCGCCTGAGGTACGGTAGGTTGTCTTGTACCATAGGACCCCTAACGTCGGTCGAGAGTAAGAATTTACAAATACTCAAGATAACGATTCAACGTAGACGGAAGAAGTGCTCCATCCTCCCAGACCTTCTGTGCTTCTCCAAAGCATCGTCATTGTTACCAGCATTCTTTAATGATTCTAGGTTACAACTCGCATTTTGCGGGGCGGCAACAAATAGTGGACTTTGTGACTCTCGAACGCAGCATCTCTCACCTGGCGGTGACGGCGGAACGCGGGAAGGAAAGAGCGTTTTTGATTGGGCAAGTCAACAGCCATCTATCATTGGCTGGTGAAGCGACGATCGATGATTAAGGTTCCTGGGATCGGCGTCGCCGAACAGAATAGCAGCAGGTGGGGACGAGACCTCAGAAACCTCACACAGGGAAGCTTCTCGGGTACGTACTTGGCGTCTCCACTATCACCCAAATTGAGCAAATGAAAAGGCGCATGTGCATTTTGTTTTGTCAATACCGCGGAATGAGAGACCCGTCCGCCGTCATTCCGTGTCCTACGGATTCACATTCCTCATCCTCGACCTCAACTCTCAAGGCCTGCTCAGTAGGTAGTCTCAGTCACCGTGGTCCATCAGTGCTTTCCCAGGGCCATAGGGTGGAACTCCATGACCCATGATGCCACCGACAACCGTTGAGGCTTGTGTGGTTCTCGAATGTCGACGACGTTGGCTAGACTGGCGACTGCCTCATCGGATGGCTGAGACTCGGGCCTGCAGAGGTTCAGTCGTTGGTTGCCATTTCGAATGTCCATGCCAGCGTTTCAAATACCCATCTTTCATATTGCTAAACCCGACCTTCTCTAGGAACTGAGGCGTTTCTATTGAGTCGTCGCCGAGTCGTTGCGCCCAAGTCAGAAGCTCCCAGCATCGTCCACGGCCCGGGGCAACACCACATACTTGGCCGGCCAATGGCTCGCATCCGATGGGACGTCGACGCGGATTGGCGGGTTCGCATTCTTCGAGCAGAAGCGTTGGCAGGCAAATAAAGGCTGGGTGTCTCGTCTCCCGACAAAAACCGATATCCGTACGAAGTACTACATACAGATACCGCAGGGTTGAAAGCATCCCTCGGGCCTGTCTATTCGTATACGGACTATCAACTGCCGTTGCGGCACCTCGCGACTGAAGACGATTGCAGGCATGTCTCGATTCTCAACTCGTCGACTCTCAGTCTTCTATTGCCGTCATGATCCACACGGGTCATGCGGATGTCATAAACGCGGGCGGGGTCACGAGCTGCCAGGGCCCAGAGCCGGCCCTGATGTCTCTCAAGGCAGCAGCATTTCGACCGTAGTTGCTTTTCTGTGTCGAATAGACGAGATGCAGGCTTTGTACAGGAAAATGGCGCTAGCCAGGGACCCAAGCTGCCTGCCCTGGGGATCATTTTCACCATGTTTTCTTTCCCGCACACACTGCACGCACCCAGACGTGCCAGACAAGAAGGAGGAGATGGACACCAGGGCTTTGGGCAGCAAATCGAGCCGTGTGTACGCAGGACCCGTTTCTCTGGATTCCGCAGATCTCATGTTGCAGGGGCTCTGCCTTACCGAATCGATGCTGAGGACGCTTGCGACGAAAACAGCAATGGTAAACGAGAACGACAAGGAAGTCCAGACCCGAAACGGCATGGGGCGGGCTGTCTTGGTGCGTCGGGGAAGTGTGGGAAGGGAAGCGGGCACGGCGGGGCGGGAGGATGCTAGCGATTTGGAGACTCGAGCCAAGCACTGACCCGTGGGCCTTGTCTTGTGCCCCCAAGGGGCTAAGCAAAGTGCTCAACACAGTTACGCAGACCACGACCACCACGCCTGGGAGGTTTGCGACGTCGGCCAAGTCTAGTCTGGCCTCTACTGGGCTAGAGCGACGACGGCGCGAGACTGCGTGATGACCTTGGTGGTGCTGGTGTATGGCAAGATTAACGGTTTTGCCCGTGCCGCAATGGCTTGTGGCGGACTGGTGGCATCTACCCCCCAGGCTTGCGGCTTGCCAGGCCTGCCAGAGTAGACGAGCACCGGGCTGGCATAGCGTGATAGAACCAGACTCCTGGGACGACGGTTTGACTATGGGGTGTGAGAGTCGATTGTTGACAGTCTACAGACGACCTACGTACATAGTCCTACTCCTGTCCTGTACCTATTCCTCTGAAGCACGATGAGCTCGCCACCACCAGTTCGCTGCCAGTTGGCAGTTACCAGTGTCTCTTCGATTTGGGGGCCAGGACCAGAACCACAGACGGAGCCTTCCGCCTCAAAGCTTCGCCAGAGGGCCCAGGGCCATGGATGTGAGTTTCCTAGCCAGGAGACCCTGTTCTGGGTGCGTCTGGCTATGAAGAACTGCCAGGACACCAAGCCGTCAATAGTCTAGCTCGGAACCGAAGGCTTTCTCAGACCGATCATATTCTTGATGTTTCATGGCCCTTGCAGAGAAAACGATGGAGAGGAGCAATATACAGTCTTTGGTATGAGAGGCATGACATATGTGCCCATACCCCCGTCCATGACAAGTTCACAATCGAATGTGTCCACTATCCAGTGTCACGAACAAGAAGAGCAAGAGGAGAAAAGACACAGAAATGAAAGGAGTGGGGCTCTTGAGAGTGCAAGATGTGGATCAGGGTCGGGGCGGGGAGAGAGAGAGGGAGAGAGAGGAGGGGGGGGGGGGGGGGGTGGAAAGACGCACAAGCGGTGCGGGACACGTGAGAGAGACAGCGGTACGTACTTAGTACTGCTTAGCGGGTAGGTGGAGACGGCACAAAAGTTTTGGTCGAGGCAGCGAGAAAGAATGAAAGAAACGTCTCCACCACGCGTCAAATCAAGGTTTCTATCTTTAACCCCAAACGAGATAAACTCCGAACACACGCAGCACAAGCGTCCCCCCTACCGTCTACGTCTACAGATACCTACCTGCCTCCAGGGCTCACACTACGAAAGAAAAGAGCGGGGACCGCAAGGCACACATTCCCTCCGCTGCTTCATGCTCCCAGAGAAAGCCTCGCCTACTGCACCAGATACATTGCACCGCGACCTTGCCTACCCTCACAGTACAACACTACACTACAACAGTGGACAGTGATGATCCAGGCAAGTCAGGTTGCTGTCCTCTACAATGGATCTGGAGATACCCCCCAGGCGCTATGGCATGGCACTCGAAGCCGCTTGCTAACGAGACCCGGACAAGCTATGCATGTCTATGCTTTGCACGGCCAGATTTCTGAAAGGTAAGGTCCCTTGACCCTTCACACGCCAGTACCAGGTGCGGCATCGACGCAGTAAATGGGCTCCCCCTCCCGCTAACAGTCGTATACCAAATGCAGCTAGGACTGAAATTCAGTGAACCTCTCTTCCTGGATGGCACAGGGCTTCCATTCACATGGAGAGCGGATCCCTTCTCTGCTTTTCCCTTTTTTTTCCCCTTCGGCCTTACTACGAGTACACTACCACGGGCACGGTACTTATCATAGGCACTGTCGTACAGGCTTCAACCCCGGTCCAAACTTTCCGCAGAATGCCCCCCAGTTCCTTGCCAATGCTTGCCTTGGCCCCATTTACAAAAGTGAAGAAAAGTCTCGCCCATCTTTATTCCACAAGGCACGGGGATTATGGATGGTGTATGTGCTTGACGAAACTGGGCGGCGGGCATACAGATACGGTACGGATACTCCAGTTCCCGTAGGAAAAAAAGAAAAAAAAAACGAAATGAGATCGGTGCCCACTGCTTCTATGATCTCAATTTCTTGGGGGAGAAACACAAGGGGGATGGGGAGGGGGCAAGGGCCTGGCCCGTCGAATGGGCGTCGAATGGCTGGCTACCTGACGTGTTTGTGCCTGCCAGACGGGAGCAAAAAGGATTAGGTACCTGATGGAGTTTCGTTAAAGACAAAGCCGGCACTAGGTACGGATACACAACTCAGAGTCCATCAGGTTTCACTCGTTGTCAGAGTGCGTGTACTTGCATACAATTCCGCCAAAACGTCCGAATACCCAACACCTACCCGGCATAACACGTTATCGTCCCATCACTCAGGACGAACGGGAAGGATTCGCGCAAAGGAAACTGCATTCAGTCATCAATTCTCTCCGAAAGAGGAGGTACTATCTCGGAGACCCGGCAGTATCAGGTAAGGGAGGAGAGAGAGAGAGAGAGAGAGAGAGAGAGAGAGAGATATGGAAAGAAAGAAAAAATCGCATCTCTTACCAATCGGCGCTTACCCCGTTTGCAAAGACCGATCCTTTCTGCTTTTTTTTGCCCGTCGTGATAGGTTGGCCGGCAGGAGATTGTCCCTATTACTAGTATGCAGGCTTTCCCAAACGGGTTTGGCGTATCGACGTGTGGAGAGCTGAGGACTGGGGGTTTGGGAGTGTATTATACCGAATTTTTTTGGTTCTCACTGCTCAGTGCTGTATTATTCCCCTCCGCTCCTCTATCGTCTACCTACCTTGCTCCCGTACTCCGTCACGTCCGTACGGCCTGTGGCAAGTTCCTTGCCCTTGCACCACTGATGAGGAATTATGCCTATCCCCCGTTCCTGTAGATCCGATGCGACGTCAAAGGTGAGCCGTCACCCCGTGGGACTCTGGCACGTCTGGTCTGGGTGTCCTGGGAGGGTGAATAGTGATCGACATATCAAACATGATGTGCGAACCCCCGGTCTCTCTCTCTCTCTCTTTCTCTCTCTTGTCTGCGACGGGGAAGGGGTCCAGGAGACAGATGACAGCAGGGTGATCCACGAGATCCAGTGCTTCCATCATCCATGCGTGCCATGATCTCACGAGAAGAAAGAAGAAGGGATAGGCACAATAACCTAGCAAGGTATTCGTAGTGTAGGCAAACTCTCGGCAACCGATGTCACGATCTGCTTCAGGACCGTGGAATTACGCAATTCACAAGCCTCACTCATACCTACGGAGTACTCCCTATCCTTACTCCGTACTCTATTCCAAGTTTCCTCACTCTTCGCGCATTCGCTCTTCTTTCTCTCTCCGGGTCTCCCTGCAGTGTAGATCCTGCCCACATCCCAGGATCCCAAGGCTGTTCTTGGTTCTTATTCCGCTTTTCCTTCCCAGACCGCCGTGCTCAGGCACTTTGAGGGGGGCCAGAGGCAAGCTGGGCCACCAGGTTTGGTTGGTTTTTTTTTCTTTTTCTTCCCCCTTCCACCGTTACATCGGGGACAAGGAAAAAAAGGTTTATTTCTCCAGTGGTAAATCCGTATACCTCCTGCGGTATAAGGGCTTGTCTGGCTGGAGATGGAGAATCTTTGGCTCGGTCTTGCCCGGGCCCGGAGGGGGGGGGGGGTCCATGCCAATAATAAGCCGGGGGTGTAACGGGACGGGCTCACAGAAAACTGAAGCTTTCGACCTCACACCAATGGTGATAATGTAGGCACTTTTTTTTTGCAAGAAAATTCTCGGGAGGCAGCCAGCCAGTCTGTTGACGATTTAAGCCGGACCATGCATAGCTGCATGATTCTTGTCACTTGTTGAGCCTTTTTCCTTTTTTTCATTCAATACCTATTCACTTCTAGACGCACTCAAGCTCCAGAGTATGGACCATCACCCTCACCCCCCCCCCCCCCCCCTTCTATTCCTCCATGATATCACGCCTACTATCGTTCGTCCCTTGGTAGAATGAAAAATAGTGTGCATGGATATCTGTATGTGCGTGTGAGCGTTTATTCGCCGATAGGAAGGGGGGCGTCGTCCATGGGCAAATATCACATACCTACGGATACTCTCCCTCCTTTTACTGGACGCCATCAATGCGGGCCAACTGAGCCGTCCCCGTGCCACCGAAAATCAGATGTGTGTGTGTGTGTGTGAGGCGGGAAGCAAGCCCAGCCGCCGTGATACCGTATCTGCCGGCAGCGGGTGGATGAAGCCCAGACCCCTATTTCGGGAAGTTTTTCCCTCTCCCTCCCTCTCCGTTTTCGCACTTGAGGAAGATCTTTCGTTAGGGAGTGTAAAAAAACATATCTCCGTAGCGCCTGCAAGAGTAAGAAAGAGGCGCTCGTAGGCAAGGTGGCCGGGACGTCTAGGTGACCCTGGTGATATCTCGAGATAATTTCTAGGGTCTGTGTATAGAGCCTACTGTTACACGATAGCGAACTGTAACCCATATCTGCGGAACTCTTCTTATCGCCAAAGGCAGGAATATACGAAAGTTCCTACATGATAATGTTACTCTTCAGAGGACCGAAGCTGCATGTTGGTCTGGCATTCGACAGGTTTGAGCCAGGTATTCCAACAACCTGGTTCTAGAGGCGCTTCCCGCGAGAATGGCCTAGCCGATAGGAAACCAACGCAAACCCATCCATCCTACTCTTAGCCTACCTTGGGTGGGAGATCACTAACAAGTAAACCACCACATCGACGACACCAAGAGCTAACCGCCCAGATCCTGCCGTGCCTTGGTGTCCCCTCCAACGGCCGGGGAGGAAATGTGAACGACGAGCCTAAAAGTCTTTAGAGACAGCCATCTTCTTTCTTTCCGAGTGCCACCATTTCGTTCGGGATTGGGGTCCAGCGCCAGCTCCAAAATTATGGCCTTGCATGGCTATACCTCCCCGTTTCAGCCATGAAAAGAGTCCGAAGACTGGCGTACAATAGTTCGAGAACCACCAAGATATAGGACCCGACCGGAAAGGTGTGCTCTTTCCTTTTGGTAGTCCATTGGGAACTGGTATGAGAAGGAATCCTTCACGCTTGACAACAATGTAACACGAAGGACGGCCAATCTTAGTGCTCAGAACAGTTGTTTGGTACAACAACTGTGTACACGCCAAAACAAAATCAGACCCTGCCTCTCTACCTTGTGATAACTCGCACCAAGCAAAGGTATTCTAGACCACCAAGGCTTTGCCACGAGGGTTGGACGTGAGGTCTTTGACCGACAGCTTTCTCTGCTGGACGTGACGCTTGGTTCTGCCGCCAAACTTGCGACGCCCCCGGCCTTGCAGGTGTTTCACTCGCTCGAGCGGTCCATCGCCCAATTGTTTCCCACGGTCCTTGAACCGAAGAAGAGTGGCCGGCCACTTGGCTGTTTTGTTTTGGCGCCATAGGAAGTAAGCGTTGCAGTAGAGAGCAGTGGTTGGTGATGGATAAAAAGGCAGGTGGGCGCTGGGTGGTAACATCGGGGACATCTACTCGCAGTAGGTAGGTATCGACAAAGTACAATGGCTTGTGACAGGGTAACGAACGAGGATAGTTTCCTAGTGCCCAACAAAACGCCTTTGAGATACCGGCGTTGTCGGACTTTGCTTCTTTGTGCGAGATAGTCACCTCCAGTGTCGTGGCGTCGTCCCATATTACACCCCTCTTCTCTCTGCGATGCACGGCAACGAGGAGTTGAAGAATTGTCCATTATCTTTCTCGGCACTTTCGAGAAGCCCATTACTCGACCGGCCGGCCGAGGGCACACAGATGGACTCCGGCTTGAGGTGAGACTGCCGTCCTTGCTCGCCGCATGTAACTCCGGGGACTAGATCGTACGTGCGAGATGAAATGTAGCCACAAACAACCATAACAACAGTGCGGAAAGCTTCTGTCCTCCCTCCAGGGTTTGAGCGAAGGCGAAGGCAAAGCTACCCGTGATGGTATCCATCTGCCATACCGCAGCCTTGGGTCCGAAGCACCCAGGCCGTCGGGACTAACACACGCATCCCAGTAAAAGAGGCGTCACGCCGACTTCTGCTAAAAGGAAAAAGGCCACTAAGCCAGCGTGAGGGTAGCCCCCAACGCGAGTCGTCTCTCCCTCTCACCTCCTTCGAACAATAGGCTCAGGTGCGATACCGTTAGAAGGGGTGGAGGGAAATAGGTCTAGACCCAAGGGGAACGCGGGCTTTGACTAGTCCTTGGACGCACACACGCCCGAGAGGTCGGGACAGCACAGAGACAATGAGCAAAACGTCGAGGCCTTGTCTGCCTCCCCATCCCCTTGCTTTCCTTTGCCATCTGTGCCTGTGCTAGGCTAGTCTGTGGGCTAGAGGGCCAGTAGAGTTTAGATGAAGAAAAGGGACGCATCGTGGCTAACAGCATCTAGATTCTAGACACGGAGGCAAAACGCCAAGAGAGATTGAGTTGGAACCTTGAGAGTTGAGGCTGGGTTTATTCTGCCCGCCCCCTTCGCAGAGAGCCAAAAACAAAGAAGTTGCAGTGGTAGGATGCAATGAACGGGCGTTGGAAAACAAAACAACGCAAAATCGCAAACGGGTCTCACAGCCCAAGTGTGTAGGACCCGAAGCAGCGGGTTCTGACCGGCGCCACGCCCGCCTCCCGACGATGCGATGGGTTGCAACTTGCGGGCGGGATAGGGCTTTTTTCCCTCTTCGAAGAGGGTCTACTACCATGACCGCGAGGCTAGACGACAAAATGCCACACCAGACGGATCATAGTTGCCTCAAAGGCCCTAGACTCGTCCCAAACCACGTGTTGATGATTGCGCAGGGGTCGCCTTTGTAGGCGAGTGCGGGAAGAAGCTTGGAGCACTTGATGGCGGGCTTCGCGTAGAGTATTCGGGCCTAGCTTATTATCTGAAAGAGGAAGGCCGGCGTGGTCATTGAATCAATGAATCTAGGCGAGTCTGTCGTCCCCCGGGCCCCCCCCTCGCTCGCGATGCCCTCGCTGCTGCGGGGATGGGAGGCGCGGCGTGGGATGTTCTGCAAACACAACACCGACGGCGAGGCCATGTAGGCTGAGGCTGGGGCGGGCGATTATGCAGGAGTCGGAGTCGGAGGCGGAGGCGGAGAGGCACGTGAGGGGTGGGAACTTGGATTGGAAGCGTGACGGTTGACATGGCCGGTAGATGAGGAAACCTGGAGTTCTGGACGGTTGTGACCAGACCAAATCGATAGTCTCAATCCTTCGCGCTCCACTGCCGAAGAATAGCATCATGGATGAGCAGGTGGCGGGCAGATTACAAGCAAGCAAGCAGCCTGTAGCGAACCGGGGCCGGCCAGGTGTTTTGACGTTATCATATTTCGCAAGCGATGAGCGACGTTTCGCTGCTCCCTTGAGCGATCAAAATGCAAATCCGGAGCGACAGATGACTTGATGTCGTTGAGAGACTTAGTGGCTCAAGATCGGAATCGGAGTCGGAGTCCCAGACAGACAAGGGCATGAGGGACAGGGGAGCGCAGGCATGGAGATGATATTCATGTTCCCGGACGAAAAGCCATCCGAAATTAGTCACTGCAAGATGAGGTGGAAGATGGTCGCCGATCACTGTTGCACATCCTTCCCCCAGCGAATCGCTCCCTACTCTGTCGTCAACACTCAAAGGTGTGGTTGGAGAAACAGGTAGAGGCGTGACAGCAGGAAAATGAGCAGTTACTGCGAAGAGAAAGAGAGGCCAGTAAGGGTATTCGGACGGAGACATGTCGATCCTTGAACCTCGCTCGGAAGGGTGCTCCCTGACAGGAAAGACTGGAAAGATCGACACGCCAATTCTGTCATTGTTTCTTCTTCCCTTAACCGCCGGGGGGTGCCAGTGCCACGGTGCCTGGCAAGCCGCAAATGCAGACTCTAGAGAACCAGGCCCCCCGCCGCCTTTGGCTTGCCTGAAAAGCCCTGCCTTTCTCGCAACTCTCCACCCGAGTGGTAGCCAAGCAGAAGCCACGGGGCAGACAGAAATGCAGGGGTTCTGAGGGTGCCATTCTCAAGAGGGAAAATGCCTAGGATGATGGTGCTGTTGCATCCAGTGGCTGTATCCGGCTTGGGCGCAAATCTGGTGTGTATATCAATCGCACTCCTCGGACTTCGGCGTCGGAGCTGGTGGTGATGCCCTCAACTCCTTCCATGGGTGTGTGTATGTGTGGTTGGTGTTCATGGGTAAAGTTAGCTTGGCAGCCCACCATCTCGGTCAAGCTACGACCTTCCCTACAGAGTATGCTGCTGTACTTCGTACGTCGTACGCGATGTACTGATCTCCACGGCGCGAACCCATCGTGTGGCCCGGAAACCCAGCGCCAATCTTTGGGGATGGGGTGGGTTGCACGACATAGGCAGGCCGTAGCAGCTAGGTAGGTATCCTCCCACCCATGCTGACAGTTGGTTCAGTCGGGGAAGGGCAGGGCTCTATACAACGGGTTTCAATATCCATGAGGAAACCCCCCCCCCAGTCCGTATTCAAGAGCTTGCTTACGGCCGTATGCAAGTGTGTATGGATGATGTATATATGCAATGCGGGCAGGGCCTCCGTCCACGACTACCCCCATGCCCTGCAGCGCGGCAACTGGCTCCGTTCGTACGACAGTCTATCATATCACGGGAACACAAATATCATAACTCAACTCGGACACTTGGGTGCCAGCGTTTGTGGGCCAGTCAATCTTCGCCGTGCTCTCGTCGCTAAGTGAATCGCTTCCAGCCTCGTCTATCGCGGAATTGCGGCCGCGGCGGAAAGTCTTGATATGCCCGCCGAGCCTCATCCCCGGTATCGTGATGTGTTGTCGGAGACATGTCATTGTGCCTACAAGGCTTTCTACGGTGCCGAGAAGCCTTGGAAGGGCTTTCCAAATATCACACGCCGTCACTTGATGTAACTGAGCCACTCTAAGTTTTCCAGATCGAGAAAAGCTTCACTGTCGTTTCCTATCTATCTCGCCCCGTAGCATACATAGCCATCATACAGTTGCAACCTCGCTACGCCAGCCCCATCCGCCAGGTACGTCCTCGCCGAGTTGGCTCATGCCTGAAGCCCTGCATATGTCCATGACCATGCCTCTCACAGCCCTCACCTCCTCCGCAGACGCGCCGCCGTTGAGAGCGCCTCTGAGATGACCCTTGAGCTGAGGATTCACATCCTGCGGTATCAGCCCAGCAATGAGAACGTACGACGTCTCCACTGGGGATAGAACGTTGGTATTGCTCAGGATATACCCATACATCAGCCGGGCGGTCAACCCGAGGTCTTCTGTGCCCGACCGATCCATCTGACTCATGACACGCCTCGATATCTTGCCGTAGATGTTGTCCCAGAAGCCCTGGCCGCGCTGCAAGATCTTGGAAGAGGGGGTGTGGTGTATGTCCACATGCCGTGCAGTTGGCGATGAAGAGAGCGCATCATTTGGGCCTTGCGGCTCATCTAGTAGGTGCTCTGGCGTCACTTTCTTTAACTCCATAAGTGAGTTGATGGTCTACATCGTGTTAGTGATTATGACCAAGCAGAAGATCCTGATGTCAATTTGGTACCTTGGGCAAGCCTCCAACTGCAGAGGCTTTGACGAGTGCTTCACGTAGCTTCCTCAATATTGTGAGCTGTTCCTCCGGGCCTGGCTTCACGTCATCAGGCCCAAGACCGTGTTTCATGACATGGTTGTAGACCTGTGGTATCTCATCTGGTCGGTTCAATATGGTTAAGGTCGTAGCAGCAATAAAGTACCACGCGTGCTGCGGAACGTGCGCTTGGTTTCTTAGCGATGTGAGAAGTGCCGGAGTAGCAATGGGCATCAGCGCAGCTGTCATCGTGACCTTGGATGAAGCACGGGGTGAAGCAGGAAGGCGATGTTTAGGACCAAGTGGTCATTGTCGCATTCACTAGGACAGACGAATGACTTTCCAAAAGGCAAAGAACCACCTCACCCTCCTCAGAATTGACACGGAAGATGATCCTGGTCTCTCCTTGGCGTATACAGTCCGTTCTCAAGCGGACGAGAGGAGGGCGCCGTCCAAGTCATCGCGGAAGACTGTCACTCTTATCAGAGGCTCGGTGAGCAAAGCCGGCCCTTGCCGTCTTATCGCGGCCGGAGTCGGCTTAATGTAGCTCCGACTCACCTGCCTTACCTTGCTGGAGCGAACCATCACGTGCGTGATCCATCTCCAACCGTGCCGCGTTAGTGGAGTGGGATACTGTGGCGTCACTGCTCTGCTCAGGTAATCCACTACAGCAAACAGCAAGTGGATGCTTGTCATTAACGTGGCATCAACTACAGCCTCCGAAAGAGACGTACTACCACGCCAACACCGCGCATCCGGACTTTCTTTGGCCTGCATCAACAACATGGGCACTTGAGGGCTTCCCTCACTCCACATCACCAAATCCCGTGCTAACAGCCCATCAAAAGTCAAGATGAGGCTCGCGTGGTACGCAGGGGTAAGTGACTCTATTGGAGCTATCGAGCAAGCTCCGTTCACATCGCTCCGTCTCCGCCAGACTTGCCAGGCCACCTCGGACCTGTAACTTGCTGACCCAGAGACACAGGTTTCCACGGCCCTGGCGGCCTCGGTCGTCGTATCAGCCTTCCACCAACGAGCCAATTTCTATTCGGCCATGGTTTACCTCGCGCAGAGCAACTTCTGCTTATTGGTGCGTTGCATGGGCCTCAGCTGTGATCCCGCCGAGAACGAAGCTAATAAATGCCCCCAGGTCCTGGTCAACTTCATTTATCTCATCTACGGCACGCTGATATACGGCCTGCAACGACTCCTTTATGGCCCGCTGCGACAAGTAGAAGTCGAACAACTTTCCGAAAAAGCCTGGTTCGCCATCACCGAAACATGCCTCGCGATGACGATATTCCGGGAGGAGATTGGCGCGTGGTTCCTAGTCATGTTCACCGCACTGGTGACAGGCAAGGTCTGGGGCTGGATAGGCGATGGCCGCGTTGAGGTCCTCGAACAACAACCTCCTGCGAACCCCGGCCTCTTCCACACTCGGCTCAGCTTGTCGCTTCTCTTGAGTTTGGTATACGACACCTGGCTTCTCCGATATACTGTCTCTACAGTCATCCAACAAGCACGTCCTAACATGATGGTCATGTTCCTCTTCGAGTTCGCCGTTCTATCAACATGCTCCGGACGAACTGGAATCCGCTACTTGGTATCAGTGATGGAGCAGAACATTGTCAAGACCCAAACGAGATTGCGTCTAGAGGAGCGACGAAGACAAGTCCGCGAGGAGCGCGAGCAACTCATTCGGCAGCGAGAACAAGATGGTGCGGGCGAGGATCAGCCTGACTTGCCTCGCGAGGAGGACATTGATGAAATGGACATTGAGGTTCCGGGATGGGAGGCAAAGGGTCAGTGGATTCTGATCCTTGACCTAATTGCTGGTAAGTCCCACCGAGACTCTGCGGCCATGGCCATGCTCTGACAGCGTCTAGACTGTGTGAAACTGGCCATCTATCTGGTGTTCTTCGGTATCCTGCTCACATTCTACGGCCTGCCAATCCACATCATGCGTGACCTTTTCATGACAGCCAGATCTGTCATCAAGAGGGGCTCGGCACTCTGGCGTTACCGCAAGGCCGTCGAGGACATGAACAAGTACCCCGACGCTACCGAGGAAGACTTGGGACGGGAGGATACATGCATCATCTGCCGAGAGGAGATGCGTCCATGGGACCCAAGCAACGGGGCCGTGGAGCGTGTGCGACCCAAGAAGCTTCCGTGTGGACACATTTTACACTTTGGATGCCTCAAAAGTTGGCTTGAGCGTCAACAAGTCTGTCCAACCTGCCGAAGCCCAGTCGTCATTACGGATAACAACAACAATGGCGCCGCACCGCAGAACAGGGAAGCGATGTTCGCCAGACTTGGTCTCGGCGGTCTCGGAGCTGCGCCTGCTGTCCCACCTGGCCAGCAACCGCCTGCGAATAATGCACCTGGTGCCGCTCCCGGCGGTCAGCCAGCTCAGCAACCACCCCGCAACGGCGCAGCGCGAGTCTTCCAGCTTGGTCCTCTCCGCCTCGGTTTTGCCCAAGGCGAGAATATGCAGCAATTGGCACAGCAAATGGGCGTTCCCCAGGAGGCTATCCCGGCACCCTTCGCTCAAGGAGGTGCCGCTGGCCCTTTCACGCCCGCCGTGCAAACGCCAGGTGGTAACAACATGCCAGCCATCCGGCAGCAAATTCAACAGCTCGAGCAGATGATACAGCGTGAGGTGCTAACTCTTCAGAGCATGCACCAGGAATTGCAGACGCTCCAGCTTCTTACAGCAGAACTGAGCCGTATTCGCCAGCTGCAACAGCTTACAGAACAGGTGCAAAACGCACCCCAAAACCCTGGATTGACCCCTCCGGTCTTCAATCTAGGCCAGTCACAACAGATGCCACTTCCGGCAATGTCGTTGTCACAAGTGCCTATCCACCAGACCCTGCGCGTGAATGGCCCAGTGGTGACACGGCATGGAGCCGCAAACCACTCTAACGCGATTCCCGCCGGCAGCACTGAGCTTCCTGAAGGCGTCGTGATCCCCCCCGGATGGTCACTTCTTCCTCTTCAGCGGATAGAAGGTGCCCCTGGATCTCAGCCATTTCCCGAGAGGCCGCTGTCGGCATCGGGCGAAACAGTCCAGCCTTCAGAGGCACCTGTCCCGCAAGCCCCAGTTATTGGCGTGACCCAGGAAGCCGACTCGACTCACGCCGCTGCGAATGACTTCTCAACGCGCTCGACCGCGGATGAGCAAAGACAGGAAGCAGTCGGCTCCGGCCTCGATGTCTCCACGAACCAGACAGACCCGCCGCCGGTCCTCGCCCCAAACCCGGTGCTACCCAACTGGGGCGGAGCGAACCAGCTCTTTGGCAACGGACGCGGTCTGTCGGGACTGGGCAACGACGCTCCATCGGAGATGTCAGTCGATGAAGCCCAGAGGTACGACGAAGACGCGCCCAGAAGCTCGCCGGAGAAGACGACCACCATCGCCCCGGCGGTGTCCGAGGGAAATGCCGGGGAGGAGGGCGGTAGTAGCAGCAAGGGCAAGGCTAAGGCTGTCACGGTCGAGGAAGCCGGCGACGAAGATGATTAAATACAGCCAGGAGGAGGCATTACGCGGCGTTTGGGGCGGGTATTTTTCTGGTTGAGGTGTAAAAATCATACCAATTTTCTGTAGGACTACTAGCGAATACTAAATACGCGAGATAAGCACTCTTCGAGAAATTCGTCTTCTATAATTCAGTGACAAAGAGCGGAAATGGCGATGGAGTAAGGTGGACATGTACCAGGTATGGAAGTATTTGGACAATGAACCGCACATCCCTCCAAGGTCTTTTGTACCTTTGACCCTGTGAACACATTACAATTCATGGTTGAAATTCGATAGGAGTCTCCATTGGGGTTTCCTGGAAAGCTGGAAAGCTTCGATATCACAAAAAGAGGCCCATCTAGATGTACGCTTTGAATCGACGAGATGATAAAACATGTTGCCTACGCAAGCTGGGATATTGACAATGACAATATGTACCAATTCATTTAGTCTGACTCGCCATTCGTCATCTCGACATTATCTCCTCTTCACCCCCGCATCCGCAATGAATACATCGCCTCCAATATAATTCAATGAAGTTCCCCTTTCCTTGCCATATGCCACCATATCCATCCTTCGTAAGCCTGAAATATTGCTGCTGCATAATGTAAATATTAGACAGGAGTGATCACACTTCATTACCCATTATGTGTCAAGCACATCGCGCTGCTCCTCCGTAGGCAGTGCAGGTGTCTCCCACAACGGAGCACCCTCTCCTCTCTCCCAGGCGGTACCTGGACCCTGGTACGCCGGCTCTTGGATCTGTGCCTGCTCACCACCCAGATTGCGCAAGACACTCGTGGTCGCGCTGCCTTTCACCGGCTGCGGACTGAGTACCACTCCTTTAGACGACTGCGCAACATAAGTAGGTGGAAACACTCCCTCCGAGCCGAACGGCAAGGAACGTTTTGGGATCTCTCGACTCACACCCTCAGGTCCACTACCTTCACCACCACCTAGCTTCTTCAACAAAGCCTCTGACTGTTGCTTAGCCAATTCCTGAAGCTGTGCAGAAGGGTCCTTGGGGCGCAAGGGCAGGTTAGTATAATCGCAAAGACAGTCTGCAGGAGTCCACCGAATTCCGTGCACACATACCCAGTCAGTCTGCGGCGGCACGCCATGGGCGACCGGCAGTTCCTCGTCATCCTCTCCGTCGCCAGGTCCGGGGCCACCACCCCAGAACTTTGGCCGACGGATAGGTGCAGGAGTGACTGGAAGACTAGGTCTATCGACTACGCTAGGGAAGTCTGTGAGCTTGAGCCCATGCTCCTTTGCTGTCTTTCCATCAGAGCTTCCCACCGAGCCCTGGCTCTTTCCACGACGATGCTTCTGGAGACCCTCGACATAACGCTCGATTTCGGGTACTTCGTCCCAGGCATTCGTCCGTGTGAAAGCGGTCCAAGGGTCCGACGGGCTGACTTTGATAGTTGGAGTGGCTGGGGTGCTGGGCTCGCTCTTTTGACCAGTCGTCGATGATCCTAAAAGAGACGGCTCAGCGGGAGCCTGGGATGTGGAGGACGTCATGGAGGACGCTGTGTGCTCACCAGTCGGCGTGCTCGAAGATTCCTCGGCTTCCGGCTCGGCCAAATCCGTAGTGAAGACTCTGGTCGGCTTGGGTTGGTTGATCTCCCACGGGAAAAGGTGACGAGGCTTCTGCGTTGGCTTAACCTTCGGAACCTCATACCACATATTTCTTGGGGGACTCGGGTATCGTTGGGGGGGCACAAATGGAGCGGGGTCCTGAGACATCTCATACGTCTGTGAAGGGAAGTTGAGTGCCTCTGGTCTTGAATCTGCCGGTGGGGGTTGTCTATCACAAAAGTTAGTATCCGAAAAAAGAGCTACTCGGCTATTTTATTGACGAACCTCTGAGCGTCCCATGCTGGCGGAGGAGTTGGCTCTCTTGGTTGCTCCACTGGTACTGATTCACCCCGCCCCTCATGTGCTGAAATCTGCTCTGATCGAGCCTCAGCTTGCGTTCCAGCAAAAGCACCAAATGACTCGCTCGAAGGGGGTAACGAATGACCAGCCTGATACGCGATCTCAGGCTGGGATCCTTGACCATGATGGGGCTGTTCGTGATGAACAAACGGCTGGGAAGAGCCAGCATCATGGGCATCATGGTGGGAAGGGCCATGAGCCGGATGACCCGAGGAAGGGGGCGTCGTCTGGTAGTGCGTGCCACCGTGACTACGGGGCGTTTCCGCCCCGTGATAATGCTCACCCGTTGATGCTGCTTGCGCAGCTTGCGGCTGGAATTCTCCTTTGGTAAAATACTGTACGATCTCGGGAACCTGTTGTTCCTGATGTGCTTGCTGTTGCTGAGTAGGAGTAGGCTCCTCCCGAAGTTGTGGCTGCTGCTCTTGAGGCGGAGCAGGTGCTGTTTCCTATAGAGACGTAAGCTCTTGTTCTGCCAGAAAGACAACAACGTTGGGAAACACACGGCAACTCTATAATGTCGGTCGTAAACGGCCCACCATCTTCCAATCATGTCTTCGAATGGCGAATCTCCCTGGCTCGCTTGTCGACCTTGGAACCACGGCTTTTCGGGGCCAATGAAATGCACCATGTTGATGCTGGACTGGAAGTGTCGGTACGCAGGCACGTACTGGTAATGCGCCGAGGGTGTGACATTGTAGGTGAAGCTGATGCGATTGTATGTATTCTTGAAGTGCATGTTTAGGAGACCTTGGTCGGCGCCATCGAAAGAAATGCCTCTTTCCGCCATAGCCATGAGAGCATAGTAGTCTCCCATGTTGGGACTCAGGACCATTACACCAGTATTGAAAAGATCCGGCCATCCGATATCGGGTGCGGCAGAGAAGGGTGCGGCAATGTCGAATAGTTCGTCGGGAGCTCGGTAGGCGACAACATCGGCATCAATGTAGACAATTTTGGAAAATTGAGTCTGTCGCCAGAGGTTGACTTTGGTGAAGGCAGAATGGAGATCAGGCCGGTTCATGAGGTACAAGTTCGCAGGTCGAGCGTTGCGAACGCGCGGCACGGGGATGACATGATCGTAAACGGCCTACACCGGGGAGACATCAGTATGTTGCACGGAGAGGCCAATTGACGCCAAAGCTGTCGCGAGCTCACCTTGAGTTCTGTGATAACCTCGGCAGATACGGTGTCGAGCGTGACGAGAACGACCAGCTGTTTGGAAGTGCCCGCATCGCGGAGAGAATGAGCGAGAACCAATGCGCCTAGTCCCGGAATGGTCAACAGAGCTTTGAAAGTAAATCGAGGGCCAGAAACTAACCTGGGAGGTATGTGTCGTTCAACAGAAGCTATACGAAAGTGGCTGTTAGCTCTTTGTTTACTTTTTTTTTTTTTCTGTGTGCCCTCTATGCTTTGCGATAGCGGTTGGGAAGACGAACCGTCGCATAGACCTGTTCTCCTCCACGAAGCGGCGCCATTGTGAGTGTAAGGCGTTGCGAGACACAAAACTAAAGAGCAGAATCAACGATACAACGACAGAGGAACTGTTTTTCAGCGAGTGGCCATGAACAGTATATTACAGGTGTTCTTGTAGGAGGTTGGTGGTGTTGAGTGGCACGACAAAAGTTGTTTGCGAAGTGACGGACAGCGGATGGGTGTGGCGGGGATGAGGAGCCGTGCGTCCAAGTCCAAGTCGAAGCCCGGTCTAGGTCCAGGTTCAGTCCAGGTGCGAGCTGATGCGGAGAGAAGGAGGGCGTGGAGGTGGAGGGCAGCTCCGAGGTGGGTTCGCTGCAGATGTCGGCCAGGGTACCTTGGCTATGCGAGAAGTAAGTAAGTATCCGCGGACGGGCCTGAAAATATGATGTGGTTCTCCTTCGTATTCGGCCGTGTATCCGGACCTACCTGGAGACGACGCTGCGGGAGAGAAGAGGTAGAGGGAAGGTGGAAAAAGGGGAGGAAGGAGAGCAAACGGGGAAAGGAAACGTCACCAGCGCTGGTTTATCAGAGTGAAGTGAAAGGGTGAATCAAAGTAAACGCCTGTCGCGAAGAGGCATGCGCGCAATCGGAGGTGGACGGTCTGGACAGCCAAACGGTTGGTCTGGACTCTGTGGCTCGTAATCATGTCATTAGCGGGAAATCGTTGTTAGTCGCGATGCCTGTCATTTTCCGTCCTGTACGAAGAGCTTCGGGTCATTGTGCAGCAAAGCGGCGAGAGTCGCACAACCTGACAGGGACGTACCGCTAAAAAAAAAAAAAGGTGGGCGGGCTAGCAGCAGCTTTAGTCCCAAGCTTCAGGTATCTCTACCTCTGTCTGAGTGGAAAGCAGAGAGCTTGGTATCAGTATCGTAACGAGGTCGATGATGCGTGACTGGGGACCCAGGTAGAGCTTTGCGGCCTTGGATAGGACAGAAGGAACGGCGTGGGTCGTTGGGAAGCTGCACAAGCAAGGGCCGTTGCAGCTACGGAAATTGCAACTGAGCAAATGCAACTGTGGGATATATTGTCAGCTATTCCGCATAGGTTTGCAGCTGTAGGAGGATAAGAATCAAAGGGAGGAACCTTTCCCATCTGCTGTTCAGAACAGAAAAATCCAAGGATGGAAGGATGGACGCAACGAAAAGAAAGAAGTGGAGGCAGGAGCTTCGACAACGTTCAGCCAAAGTACCTACGGTATGTATCTATACGTGCCTCTAGGTGCCTTCGGAGCATCTGACGTCTGTGAACGCGATGCGCAAGCTGCTGAGGTACTTGGACTCTTGGATTGCGCCGTCCCAGCGGGTCTCTGTACATAGTAGGCTCAGGTATCCGTACTTACGTTTAGGTATAGTAGTACATTAAGGTGGTGTTCCCGGCCTGTTTGGAAGCTCCAGTGACCCACCTTGAAGGTTCGCGCTGAAAAGCATTGGAACTCGAACGTCTGCCAAGGAAGGTCAGAGCTTGTGCACCTTTTCGGACTGGATCCCGGTCTGGTCACACCTTACCAGTGCCTGCCGCTGGCGTAAAATTCTCCCCTTCACAAATGTCTTCCGTCCTTTGTTTCCTCAATTCAACCCTTTCCTGCATCTAGGACCAATTTAATCCAATGTATCCCCTCAATGGTCAGCTCCGTTGAGGATCTCGACGCAAATCTGTACACGACGTGTTCCTCAATCCATTCTCCGACTATATGAGGATTCCAGAGGCGGAAATGATGGCTCAACGGCCACACGCGACTCAGATATTTTAGGCCATTCTTGCCGAGGCTCGAGACCCGTTCCTTGTCCCCTTCAGGAACGTCCCATATAAACATGTCACTCGCCCTTGGGTCCCACAACTTGCAGCACGGTAGTGGAACTGGAAGCATAAGACATTCATGCAGCATCTCCCCATCCGATGCATGGTTGGTCAGGAATATGAAGTCGGATTAAGAGAAGAAACAACTGCCAACAGCTCCTATGATAAGGGAACTAACCTGAAGGTAACAACGAGGGAAAGTAGAAGAATATCAGAGTGGCAGGTCAGAAAGCTGTAGCTGTTGAAAATGACTTGAGTCTTCTTGAATTGAAACATGGGGAGAGTAAAAGAAAAAGATGGGCAAGACTGGCATGCGTGCCCCTTTCTTCTCTCAGACTTTTGACCTCCCTGTCCATTTCTGGTGTCTTCAAGCCTCATATCACTCGAGAGTTTTCTTCAGCTTTCGTGACGCACTTTCTGGACGTCTCGGAGCTCTTTGCTGGGTATCAAGGGAGATGCTTCTCAAGTTCTTGCTCGTCTTAACAGCAATTTCCCTTCATTGCTGGGCAAGAAATAGACGTGTCATTTGAGCAATCCCATCTCAATCCTCGTAAAGGCCAATTACCAAACCGTCTGATGTATTTCCTCAGGCATCCTTACCATAGACCACCTCGTGAGATGATCTAGGTTCTGTCATGCATTACCATTACTAGCCGCCACAGTCATCCTGGTTCATCATTCAACCTTTTTCTGCTCCGATAATACATACTACCGGCAGCACGACTAGGTACCTACACCTTGACCATCTCATGACGGCGATCCAACCTTTGTCAAGTTGAAGGGAGAAGGCGGAAAACTGCCTGGGCACCAGTCGCCAACCCCTCCTTCCCCACCCTCCAAGCTGTCGACGGGAAGCTGTCAGTTTGAAGCTGGGAAAGTGTGCGTAACATGTCCGTAGCTCCTACGGTCCTACCCATATCTAATAGTAGATAGATGGAAAGAGGAAAGTTCCATGCCCGCAGCTTCCCCGCATCTTCCGGCTTCCTTCCTCACCCCCCGAGACCCAGACTCGCATTACCTTATCTGCCATTGGGAAGTTGCGAGATTAGAAAAAGGACTACCGGGAAGGAAATGACGTTGACTCGGGAAGCTCCTCGCTCCTCCCCTCCCGCATGTCTCGCCCATAGCTATCTCACCTACCGGTAGCAATCCGGGACATGGGAGGCTTCCTCGATCGGACAACGATGTTCCCATCAGAAAAAGAGAGACAAAGGACCCTTGGAAACGCGAACCGAGCCATGCGCCGGATTAATCTGCACAACTTTCCAACACCTCCTCGTCTCCTTCACTCCTCATCCGTCCATCGGCACCTCATCCTTCCATAGTCCCAATCTTTTGCCCCGCCTTACTGCTGCATACGACTGCATGTATGGCGTCCCCGTCCCCCAGCTCGTCTAACATCATCCCGTCAGTTCTAGGTATGCTGCAGACAGACTGCTGCATCATACTCGTCATCCGCAATGGAAAGCCCCAGTGCTCATGACCATTACCACCAATACGCTACAGACGGGATCATCTACTCGCCCAGTCCTGGCTGTTCAACGTTGGAGCCAGAGCTACAGACGCAAGCCATCATCGTAAGTATGCGTTTCATCTTCTGTCCATCACCAAGAAATCTATCTGAAGTTCCACCATGCTTTGGGGCAGAGTGCAGGAGACATTGGACACAAGTGTGGATAGTCTGGGGAGTTGACCATGCCATACCTACACTACCTTAAACACCTTACACACGTCACATGAGGTGAGGGATGCATTGAGGTGGGCAAGGCGAGAAGGACCCTGTGGACCATTCTCCGCATCGTGGTGCGGGGATCCAACAGCTCTCGCAGCTCAAGCTGATGATCTGCACCAAGGGTCTACCCGGCACGGCACTTCCAGTCCAGCAGTTAGGTACTGGACTGCTCGTCTCCTTTGCACTCTACAGCCTATGACCTACCTCGTATCATTGAAATCCAATATTCGCATGCTCGTAGCCCTGTTCGTCGTCCTCCGATAGAACCAATCTTCTCTGGAACTCATTTGAAAGAACGGATTATTAAACATGTATACTTCTTATAGCCGCTGCGATCAATCACCCCAGAGCCTCGCCCACGCCGTCTAGACTTTTTCGGTCTCCCTTATGAGCTCCGCCTAGACATCTACGAGCTCCTGCTCCTTACTCCGGAACCCATTATCGTATCGAGCAGCCACCGTCAACTCCACGTCAAAGTTGAGCCGCCGGAGCACCAGGTCGCCTACCTACGCGCCCCCCGCCCGAGACCTCGCGTCGTGTCGCTCACACACAGGAAACCCCACGTCGAGATTCTGCAGATATGCAGGCAGATCGAACAAGAAGCCACCCCAATTCTCTATGGCCGAAATAGCTTCGTCGTTGGGTTCCGGCTATGTGTAAGACAGAGCCACCAGGTAGAAGAACCATTTATCCGGCGACTACGTCTATCAACACTGCTTCAGCTACGCTCAGTGACTTTCCGGCCTGGATGTTATTGTAACCAGTGGCTGAAGTCTTCTGGGTGTGGTCAGAATGTCGCGGGTATGCTAGTTCGTAAGCAGCTCAATGAGCGGGGAGATCACCAATGGGACATCGAGGCAGCCTTTTGGCAGAGTGCGTATTCCCTGTCATTGAGGATGGCTCTGGGATGCTAATGTCAAGCTTACCTAGCTTACATCACGAAGAGCAGAGTGTGTGCCTTTTGCCATCACACTACTAGGGAGCGGATACTCATTGGTATATAATTCGTACGAAGTACAAGAGAGGCAGGCCCTCAACTCGTTCTGACGTCAAGGGCCTTGTGAGCGGAAACGTGGCAGTAATTTGATCATGATTCGGTCCTGTCGCTCGAATTTGGCCCTAAAAAGAACAAGGTTGTAATTTACTTGATAATACTCTTCGATTTCTATTGTGAGAGCTTCTCTATCGGCTACTTGGCGCATACTACTACACATCTTTACAGGTCCTTCTTGAACGCATGCTCCGGTTTGTGTGTAGTCTCGTAGTCGATATGTACGTAGGCCCGCTCCACATCCGGTAGACTCTCCAACTTGACCTGCAGCGCCTCTGCCACATCGTGCGTCTGAGCGAGGGTGTTGGCGGGTTCCATGACGATATCCACCTCGGCGATGAGCCGTGGGCCCGAGTGGTAGACACGCACCGTGTCGATGCCCTGAATGGCAGGTGAGTGCGTCAGGCAGACATAGGTGATGAGCTGCTGGGTTTCGATCGAGGCGGTGACGCCTACGAGCAGCAAAAACTCGGCGATGGCGGTTCGCAACCAGATACCGGATACGATCAGTGACAATATTATGGCGCCAGTTGGGTCGATATACCACTTAAGTTTTGAACCGCCGACGGACGTGAGTATACCAAAGCCATTCACTAGCAAGTCGTTGCGGTGGTCGGACCAAAGGATGCGGACCTGGGAGTATCGGTTTCGCAAGGAGAAGCAGTACAAAAAGAGCACAAACTTGGTTGTAAAGGCGCAACAGACGGCAATGATTGGCTCGATGCGGAAGGCCTTTGTCTCGTTGGCTGATTCCCTCTCGGTAGCCAGCTCGCGCGCGGCGAAGGCGATGATGATGAGCGAGACCGAGATCATGAGGAAGCAGAAGACGATATTGCCGACAGTCTCGAGGCGGGCCTTGCCCGCGGGGAAACGGCGCGGGTTCACTCTCTTGATGGCGCGGCCGGCCAGGATGAGAGTCAGGTTGCTCATGGGATCAAAAATGGCGTCGGCCATTGTGGTGATGAGCGACAGGGAGCCGGTACTGATGGCCGCGTAGAGCTGCAGGGCTGTAAGGGCAATGTTTGCGGCAAAGGAGCCCCAGACGGCGATCCGGAACTGCAGCTGGTCGTCGCCGGCTTCCTGGCGGGCCTCGGCAACGTGCTCGTCTACGGACTTGAGCATGCGCTCGATGGCCGCGTTCTGCGTTTCGTAGAACTTCTGTACCTTGTGGCCATGGTACCAGGAGCCGCTTGGCGAAGTCCTGCCGCTGGGTTTGTCGGCGGCGGGGTGACTGTCCCGTTTGCGCGAGGTGTTTGCTCTGATCTGGGCGAGGTCCTCTGGCGTCTTGAGGGCCGCGGAGAGGCCGTAGGGGTCCGAATCGAATCGCAAACGGGGCTGCCCCTCGACGTCGGTAGCAGCGGTAGAGTGGCGGGCGATGGGCTCGTGTTTCTCATCGTGCGGTGCGGGACGATGAGACGCGGCTTCTATGGCCGTACTAGAGGCATTAGCTGCGGCATCTTCACTGGAGAGCTGCATTGAGCCTCGACTGGAGGTGTTTGCGAGACGGGATGGCGTGTGCAAGCCGAAGGGATGCGGGTGCATGGTGATGCTCATGGAGAGGTCCGGCTCCATGTCGGCGGCGGACGTCAGGTTGATAAATAATAAGTTATGCGCAATGAAGGATACTAGTTGATTATATGACGTTGTCGAATCCCTGTTTCCAATGTATCGATATAAATCAGGCTGACGGGCTGTGAGGTAAGAGGAAGGGTGGCAACAGAGGCAAATGGAGGGTGGTGTAGAATGGAGATTCGTATGTCTGGGTTATGTCGCCAAAGGTAAGATATTCCAAAGAGCTTCGGAACCTGGGCCCCTGACCAACAAACAAAGCTCACACCTTCTCCCCTCTCAAATCGGGCTTTCGGGAAAGACATAGTGGCTGATACGGAGTATTACAAGCTCCTTGGGGCAGGATCGCTGCAGGAGGTGCGGGGGTAGCAAGCGGGTGGGATGTGTTGTCGTCGAGCTGTGTGAGGTGCGCACCCCGCTGGCGTCTCTTGCTTATTCTACCGTGCCGATTTGCTGGTCAAAAGTGCCGAGGAGGTGGAGGTTAGACATGGAAAGAAAGAACATGTTCATCAGGTAAAACGACTGTGAACCAATCATTTGCCCACGGGAAAGGGGAGGGGGACTGCCGTCTCGGGCGACGCGATTGAGGTGATGGACAGGTCAAGACTAAGTTGCATTAGCATTGGGTTGGCTCGACTGGGTCAAATGTCTTTACACAACGATAGAGAAAGTCGGTGGACTTACCATCAGGTTACGTGGAAACTGCCTTCGCTTGATCTCGAGAGTGTTAGTGACCAGTATTGAAGGGAAAGCATGGGAGACAAGGTGTGTGACGCCCACCCCAACAGCTCATTGTTTCAGCGCTGCGATTGGTGGTGGACACAATCTCTGAAGTGGACGCCAGCCACGTTAAGGTAGTCAGTCCTCTGCTTGGGTTCCGAACGGGAGCTGATAGAATCGGACACTTTGGCGATGTCGATGACTTCAACAGATCACTTTCGTCCTCTTCCCCAAGCTTTCAAGCCGACTTGTGAAACAAATAAACAGATTTGAAAGTAGAGGGCAGAAGCAATTTTGAGGTGCTTTGCGGTTCTTCCAATCGATAGAGGGAGAGAGAGAGTTGGAGCGGACCCTGACGGTCAGCTCTCAGCAAAGTACGCCCCGAAAGTAGCAGCCCAAACGAACCACGAAGATCCGCGACTGGAAATAGAACGGGATGAAGTTGGAAGAATCCCGGGGATGCGGGTCGACTTTATGGTTCGAAACAAACCGTTACCTGGAGGGACCTGGACCACCCCGGCGCCGAGACCTGCCGGAACTGGGCGCCATTCGGGTCTCCCGTTTCTCATGTGCTTCGGGCACAACCGGAACCGGGTCACATCCCATCCACTCGGCAACCTTGGCATCGATTTACTAGGAGTAACCATTCACAGGCCAAGATAAACACCAAAAGCATGATTGAATATGTATTTAATCCATGATGCGGGGACTTTCCCCAGCGTAGTGTCCTTGCAATGCAAATAACTTGAATATTATTAATATACTGCTGAAAATGGAACTCTTACATACGTAGACACTACCAGAGAGCGGCGCATCACTACCCTTGATATCTCTTCATCTCTTATATACCATGCTGATTCCTAGAAGCTGGCCTTGGTGTGGATGCAGATTTAATCTGGACGTTTTCAAGTGTAGATAAATCACCGATCAGGATACCATCGTGGCATGATAGTGAGGTATAGCAGTCCGCGACTTCGGCAGCGTACATGGTCTCGACCACCACCATCACCAAGCCAGACGAAAGAGAGATATTGCACCAGCCGAAAAGTCACGACACCAGTACCGGCTACATGGACTAAAGGCAAAGACAGAGATGCCGCGGGCCCATCCAGTCTCCTACAACTTGGACTCGGGCTTCGCCACAGGCTCCCCGCCAGCCCTCTCAAGGATCCAATCCCCGACATCCTTGAAGAACTCGTCCTTGCACAGGTCCGCGTGCAGCTGGTGATACGCCCCCTCGTACGGCTTATGGTGCCCATCGTCAATCGTCTGCGCGCCAAGCCACTTCTTGCTGGCATTAAAGCATGTCGTCTTGTCCTCCGTTCCGTGGCCCAGCCAAAGGCTCTTGACGTTCCCGCTCAGCGTCAGCTTGTTCTGCGCAAGCTGATCCGTCCGCTCCAGCATGCCCGCCAACCCCTCAAGCGTGCCCGTGTTGTGCATGAGGTCGTCGTCGCGGATGCTCTGCTGCGCCGCCTTGTCGCGCGTGAGGTGCTCGGCGGGGATCTCGTTGACGAGCTGCTGCTTGGGCAGGACCTTACTCGCAAGCTTGCCGAAAAACACCTTTAAGAAACTCGGCTCCTCGCCGGGCGTGAAGGCGATAAAGGGGCTCTCGAGGAGCCAGCCGCGCACCTGACCGACGAGGTCGTGGTACTGCGGGTCGCTGGCCAGCGCGAGGACCTGGCCACCGCCCATGGAGTGGCCCATGACGAAGACGGGCGCGTCCGCAGGCGGGGACGGGAGCTTGGAGCGGATAAAGGCGGCCACGTCGGCGAGGACGCGCGACGTCGGGCCCGTGTGGCCCCGGTCGGCCTTTGTCGCGGCGCTGCGGCCCCATCCGCGCTGGTCCCAGCTGAAGACCTGGATGCCGCGGCCGGCGAGGCTGGGGAAGAGCTCGTCGTACCGTCCTACGTGGTCACTGAAGCCGTGTACGAAGACGAGCTTGGCCTTGACGGGACCCTCGGGCTATTTGGTGCAGCGTCAGTATCTATGTATGCCCGCGAGTTGTCATGGATAAACAAACCGAAAGGAATGAGAACCTACCGTCCATGTTGTGCTGTGAAGCTTCTGGCCGTCCACTTCAAAAGTGCCCTCGGTCTGCGTAGCCATGATGAAGACGATAATGCTGCGTGAGATTGGTTTGGTGGTATAAATGGAGGACTAGATGATTCAAGATAAAGATATACAGCGACTTTCCCACGATGAACCACGGGCTATGAGAAGGAATGAGGTGAGATGCTTTTCACGTGTTATTGTTGGGGATTCGATTCAAGACATCCAAGGTGAGTGGAGGTGGCGCTGTGGCCATGGCACACTGAAAGAGCTGAGCTCCGCTTGCAGACATGGGAAGCTCGGAGCTTATTGGGAACCCCAACTTCTCCAATGGAAGCTTCCGGTCACCGTCCGCTTTGGGCTCAGCGACACAGCACGCCAACCTGCCGTTTAGTTAGAACGGCGTCAGTGATCAATAAAGAGTAAGTATGAGACTAGACTTTTCTAGCCTCCACGGTGTCGAGGGTCATGGTACATAGACAAGCTAGAGCAGCTTATAGTGCTTGAGCCCGGTAACTCAAAGGGTACTACGCACATCGCATTCTATCATCTGGCGATGGGAAGCATTCAAAGTGTTGAATTTGGTGCACTCCAGACGTCCATTAAGATCGAGCGGAGTTAATCTATGATGCTGTGTAACCCATGAATAATTTGTAGTACACAAGACGGCAGCACGTTGTGAGCTGCGCCCATAGCAGCAGTAAGTGATTCGCCGTTGCTGCTGAATCGCTGCTTCATCTGTAAGCAGCCTTTTTGATATAAAACACAAGAAAAATCACACACGAAACCGCCTTCAAAGCAATCCTACTCTTGTCCGGAGACCAGGTAGTATATACTTTTTACCGCCGCGCCTCCTTCTCCCTCGCCTCCTCCTGCACCTGCTCCTCAGTTTCCTCTTCACCCTCCTCCCTCTCAAGGTCGGATTCGATCTCTTCCTCTTCTGTAATATGAGCTCTGTCACTAGAGCGAGGATCGGGAACATCGCCGCCGCTCATCTGCCACTCCATGAGCTTGCTAAATGCGCTGTTGCTGTCGGCAGAAAGCTCCGTGTACTTGCCAATCTCTGCGACCCCGCCGTTGTTGCCAAGAACAATGATCAGGTCAGATCGCTTAATGGTTGACAGTCGGTGAGCAATAGAAATGGTCGTGTTCCTGCCTCTGAGAAGCGAGGTAAGTGCGGCGTTGACAAGCGTCTCGGATTCGGCGTCCAAGGCGGAGGTCGCCTCGTCGAGGATAAGAATATCGGGGTCCTTGATCAACGCTCGCGCAATGGCGATTCGCTGCTTCTGACCTCCCGACAGCTGTGAGCCTCTGGCTCCGACCTGCGTGTCCAACCCAGAGGGAAGGTCACTGATAAAGTTGCAGTTGGCCTTCCGGGCGGCCGCGATGATTTCAGCTCGGGTGGCGTTGGGTTTGCCGTAGGAGATGTTGTCAGCAATCGACCCAGAGAACAAGACAGGCTCTTGCGCAACCATGCCAATGCGGCGTCGCAGTGACTTGACATTCATCTTTGAAATGTCTACACCGTTGATCGTAATAGAGCCAGCGATTGGATTATAGAATCGCAACAGCAGACCGGCAACGGTAGATTTACCGCCACCCGAGGGTCCCACAACACAGACGTTGCTGCCCGAAGGAATCTCAAAGTTAAGATCGTTGAAGATATTGACGGCAGGCCGTGTAGGGTAGGCGAACGAAACGTTTGAGAACCGAATCGGGCCCTGTGCAGACTTCACCTTGAGCCCGACTGTCTGTGAGATGCCGGGCTTTCGATCTTGCAGCTCAAAAAGGCGACTGGCAGCACCGACGCCCTTCATCAGCTCTGAATAGAAAGACGATAGACCAAACAGACTGGATCCTGCAAAAGCCGTGTACATCATAAAAGATGTCAGGTCTCCTAGCGTCATGGCGCCGTCGCGGACAAAGTTGCCGCCGACAACGAGCATGGCAAGGATGGTCATGTTACCAGCCCAGCCCGTCGAGGCAAAGAAAGTGGCAGCGATCGTGGATTCCTTCTTACCCAGAGCAAATATCTTCTTGACTTGGCGGTTGTAGCGGCCGACTTCTTGGATCTCTCCCACGAATGCCTGGCTCGTTTTCACGTTGCCGAGGCGTTCTTCGGCAATCTTCGTCAAGGTACCAAGATTCTTCTGGATACCCTTGCTCACGTTTCTGATTGCACGACCGTAGAAGAAGGCTCCGACTGCAACAGGTGGCAGCATAATGAGGAGAAGTCCAGTCAACTTCGGACTAAGCCAGACCATGACACAGAAACCGGCTCCTCCGCTAAAAAGAGCCCTCAGACCATCGCTGATATTTTGGGTGATGGACTTTCCAACGATGACGGTATCAGAGCTGAGTCGCGACAAGAGGTCTCCAACTCGGTTCGCGTCGAAAAATTCGGCGTCCTGTACATATGTTCGCCGATAGAGAGTCGAGCGCAGACGGGCAACAACCCTTTCGCCAACAATACGCAGGAGGATTACGCGCCCAAAGTTGGCCATGGCTCCAACGGTCAAGATGACGCCCAAGGCTGTGAAGAACTGCGGCATGGTCAGACCGAACAAGCGCGCGTCCTCGGCCGGATCCTTGGTAGCCATGTCGAGGATTCTGCCAACGGAAAATGGGATAGACATGGTGACGCCGGACGAAATGATGAGGAAGATCATGGCGATTCCCAGCCACCGCAGCTCCGGCCGCGCAATCTTGATCAGTCTCCAAATTTCGGAAAATCCGGCCTTGCCACCTTGCGACTTGCCCTCCTTTGACAACTTCGCACTGAGGTTGACCTGGGCAGCCTTGGCAGCCCGCTCGCTCTTTTGGAAGTCATCAGGTTGTTCGGGCTCTCGTGAGGACGGTTCGGTCTGGTTTGCGTTCTTATCACCGTCTCGCGTAGCCTGAGTTTGCGTCGCAGACTGAGGGTCTCGTTGCTTAGAAAACCCGTTCGAGAGATAGCGCAGGATCGCGATCGGTCCGGGTGATTGAGGCTTTTGGCAAAGAGGAACGGGTCGTTGTCGCGCAAATCGGTGGATGGTAGCAGCAGAACGAGCTGCAGATAATGATTGAACAGGCTTGGAGCTGAAGCCCCTACTCTGTGACAGCAGAGAATATTGTAGAACCGGCGTAATCGTCGAGGTATTGCTTAGGCCGGGGAGGGTTGTCATCAGCGATGCCAATGTCGTCGGGCAGCTCCCGGCGCGGTGCGGGAGCAACACCGCGGATCGCACAACTCCCATAGCCATGGTGGAATTGGGAAATGAATTTATCTCATGGGAGGCGCATAGTCAGAAAGCGTTGAAGGAGGGTGCACCATTATACGAAGAGGCTCGACGGGTTGCGCATGAATACAGCCACGACCTAGGTAGTTTAACGAGAGGACCGGAGAGATTCCGTCATCGGTTTGCACTCGAAATTTACAGCGCTCGATGCATGGCCCATACCCGGGGGAATGCTGACAGCGGACGGGACGCTGCTGCCCGCTAACAGAGCCCCTCGGTGATAGTCGGCCCGTGCATATCTTTTCGCCGACTGCTCACTCCGCACCAGCCGAGGACAGGGGAAAGCACTCACTAACTACATGCCTTAGTTGCGGCAGTAGTTAACGTGCTGTTCACCATTCGCCCTAATCTGGTCACTCACATGTCATTTAACCATTTAACCATTCATCAAGAAATCAAATCAGCTCTACTAATTGCTTGTGATTCCTGGCTTCCTAGCTTTCTTACATACTATAAACACATGAGGCTGCAATAGGCCTCGATCCTCCCAGATTCCACCTTAGACCATGTCCTCGAAGAATGGCCAGTGGCTCACAGGTCATCTCCTGTCTCGAGTCAGGATTGGTACAGATGTCGAGGTTCCGTCCTGTAGTGAGCCTTCGAGTGACCAATCTTCGCAGCCGGCCGTGAAAACCAATGATGCCTGCGGCGCCCCTTCTAGTATCTCAATACTACGCGCTCAACCACCTCCAAATCTCTCTAGGTCGTGCCTGTATTCTGAGTAGTCGACGTGGTGCAGTCTGTAGCACACAGATCTTTCAAGCACTGCCGTTACTTTCCTTACGCAGCATCTCTGCCACGTCGGCATCGATTCCATCATCGCCTCCAAGGTCCGGGAACTCGTCTCCGTCGATTCGGCGTCTCTTCTTCGCGCCGTTTGCCGAGACAGGAATAGACTGGTACTGCGAGGCAAGGGCTGATAGCATTTCGATGCCCGACGCTGCCGGAGGCTGGAAACCCTGGCTCGATGCCGAGCGGGCACGATCCTCTTCTGTGTGGTGAGGGATAGGCGACTCGTCGTGGACAGGGGGAGGTGTCAGCGCTTCCACAGACGGCGGTGTGAAGGCCTCCATGGGGGGAGGTGTGAGCGCCTCAACTTCTGGTCTCTCAGGCTCAGGCGTCTTGGATGCCCCGTTGCTGGGGGATTGCGAAGCCTCATGCGTCGGTAGTCCACGCATAATGGCTTGCTCAATCTCACGTCTCTTCTCCTCCGTCTCAGCCTTTCGGGACATCAGCTCGGCATGCTGTCTCTCGTCGTTCGCCAGTGCCTCCTGACTTGCGCTGAGCATCTTCTCCAACTCGCCAATAAGGCCTTTCCTGGCCTTGGCACATTCCGCGACGGCGCCCTCAGCACTCGCCAAACTCTTCAAGAGACCATTAAGTCTTGCTGCGTAGACGGGGGCGGATGGGACGGGTGTCGAGGGGTCGGTAACCTTTTCGAAATCCTGGTTGGCAGTGCTCACAGCCGTCTTAGTAGGTAGGTTGAGCTTCGATACATTGGTATAGGAGGTGACGAGCGGAGTGAGCTCTACTGGAACAGAGGGGCCACCACCGCCCATTCCGGGACTAACGAAATTTGCTTTGGCGGTTCCTCGAGCCTTATCGAGTTCTAGAGCATCATCAGTACACCATATTGCTATCGTATCTGGAGAGCATTTACCATCAATGCCGCGTTCGATGGCCTGTTGAACAGGTGGCTCAAAGATGAAGCGGTCTTTCCAAACGTCAATGACCCTTCTAAGCTTGTTCTGGATCTCAGCCGGCGCTCCCTTGTAGGCTAAGGCCGTCGCCTCAGCGATGACAGGGGAAAAGGCCACAAGAAAGTCCTCTTTGTGTCGTGCCTTTGACTGCTGGGTGACCTCTGTGAGTGTGTCAGAATCATTCATGTTGTAGGTACTTCGTCGTCAGGAAGACAAAGACTTTGCAATGCTTCAGGGCCCTTACCATTTGCAAGATACACCAAGCTTAGTCTCTTGGTGCTCGATGAGTCGCGAAGACGCTGCATCCATAGCGCAACGGTGCGATCTGCATGTCTCCTGAGAAGAGGTCAAAGTCAATTCCATTCAAGTGAGAAGTATGGGATTCGAAACTCATCTGCTGGGCTTACTTGTGAAACATGATCCATTGTGCAGCAGTTGCAATGCTGTCATGGCTCTCATTCAGAGCCGATAGCTTTGCCAGCACGGCATCGTCGTTGTATGCCATATTAGTCTGGCGCTACTTGGGTGTTGTAGGTATTTCGGAAGTGATCTCTGCGACAGTGTCTGCAATGAGAAGGTTTCCAGTTGCTTTACTTGAGGCAAACACGATCCGAACGCGGACGTGTTTCCTTTGATAAAAAGGCAAACCCCGTTGAAATTGAATATTGGATGGGTATGGTTGATGCGATGATGACTTAGAGAACTTCTGCGAAGTGGAAGAAAAAAAACCTCCGAGATGCAGTGCTTGAAAAAGTATCAAGAAAGATTAATCCAGTGAGGTAAGTGAGGCAAGGTAGGCGAGAGAGTGAGAGAAAGTGTATGTTAGGGTGAAAGAGTGAGTGGGAGGAGTGAGGTAAAGAAGGACCGGCCAAGGTATTCAATCAGTCAGTCAATGGAATCTCTGGGTCAGAAATCTTAGTAGCAAACACCTGACCTCCCAAAGCTGCTTCCGCAAAGCGTCCAGATCAATGCATCTGGTAGTCCTCCTGTGCAGATGGCCAGACAGTAAGATAGATGGACTGCAACACCGGGATTACGATAATTTTGCTCCGCGAGATGAAATGGCGACCTTGCTGCTGAGAAAAGAGACGGTGATATGGGAGTCAGTTAACGGAGGTCAACCAGAATCAAAACAACGCTGATGGCTCAGACGTGGTCGCTCCTGCTCTCTCTATAGCGATAAGCCAAGTAGAAATTCGCCTGGCAGTATCCAGTATATGTATATATCCACTGATTTTCTCTGCCCAAAAAACCCCAAGCCACAGGGGCTTGCTCGGACCACATGGGTGACACTTCACCAGAGGCGCATTCAACTAACCGATGGGGACAGCTTCAAAGTGGATACCTGTTACTACACACTGCACACGGCAAGCACCGTACCATCCAAGGTAGCCTCCCGTTGTTCCTATCACATACCAGAGGTAACTGACATACCATACTTTACCTCAACTTGTTTCTACAAACCTACAGTCGCCATTGAATTCGAGCGCTTTCAGACAGAAAATTCGACTATTGACACCCAACTTGTACAGCTTCACTTCTAGGCGGAATTCTATCTCGATCGGTACTTTGGCATCTGATCCCCAGCAGCCACGTCGACAACCTATCTCTCTTTCCTGTTCTTCAACAACGCACAAACCAGGCATCAAAATGGCCGACAGATTCCCTTCGCTAGAGGACTTCGATTCGGGTGGTAGGTATTCTCAGCGCAAATGTATTTCCTGAGGCTGACGAATCGCATCCAGCCCAAACCGACATCAAGGACTCCGGCGCCGAACCATCTACCGACGACTTCCTTGCCCGCGAGAAGGCGCTTCTTGGTGACGACGCCGATCAGTTTGCTACTGGTGACGATGCCATCGCCTTTGGAGCCGGCGACGATGATCTTCTTGGGGGTGGAGGTAGTGGAAACGTCATCAGCGAGGAGTCGACGTTCGAGTCGCAATTCCCAGACCTTGCCCAGAACGAGGTTCGTCATGCCACACTGTCGCTCTTCGAGCCGTCTAACAGATGAATACACAGGCTGTCACCCCTGGGCAGATTCCCGGCGCTGGCATCACCGCTGCTCCTAGCGTAAACTACAACTCCGGCTACAACGCCTTCGTTGAAGAGGAAGAGGAGCCCGCGGTCATCCGTGAGTGGCGCGAGCAGAGAGATGCGCAGAACGAGAAGCGGGCACAGCAATTCGCTCAGCAGCGTGAGGAGACGACTAAGGAAGCTAGAGAGAACATTGACGATTTCTACAACAACTACAACGCCAAGAAGGAGAAGGGTATTGCCCAGACGCAAAAGGACGCCGAGAAGTTCCTTGCTAGCCGTGAGGATACCGTCTCCGGCGGCACGAGCTGGGAGAGAATCGCGAAGCTGGTCGACGTCAGCGGAAAGGGCTCTAAGGGTGGCGCCTCCGGCTCCGGTAAGGAGCGCTTCCGTGAGCTCCTCATCAGCCTGAAGAAGGACGAGAAAGCACCTGGAGCCAGCGGTTACTAGATGCTGTAAACGAATGGATGGATGAGAGGATCGGCAGTCGCCGTCTAAGAGTGTCGAATGCCGCGCAAGCACGAGACTTTGACATTACTTGCGGAGCCGGTGCGCATGTGTATTCTAGATGACCTTTTCTGCCTAAAGGATGGAGCGGGAAAAGGTTGGCCATTTGATAATTTTGACAGGCATAGTCAAAAAAGAGAACTCCCACGATCGATGTCATTACGTTTCTCAGTTTTGTGAACATGTCACCAAGGAAGAATGGCCCTCTGAAGTCAATTTGGTCTATTGGTCGCCCTACGAATCATACAGTCCGGTCCCGAGCCTCTCGCTACGGGGTGGTATCCATCGCGAGCAGCGTCTATTCCTTGCCGAAGTAGGTGTTGTAGCCGAGGACCTTGCGGCCCATGCCGTAGAAGGAGGCTGCTTGATGTGAGTGTTCGCCCTAACGAAGTTCCGAGCAAGTGACAACATACCACCAAGAGATCCCCACAGAAGGGTAACGTAGGGGATCATGTACCAGCGGGAGCGAGGGTTCTGCGATTATCGAAGTCAGCATCCGTCCGTCGGCGCCGGGGCCAATTGCCCAATTCCAGAGCCAATCCGACATACGATCTTCCAGACACGGGTGTGGTCCTTGTAGGCGGCCTGGTAGAACTTCTGGAGGTCGGGGACCTTGTTCTTCGCGTCGACGATACTGTGTGGACGTCAGAAATGCCCTCGTATGATAATTGTTCTCGACTTCGACATGGACAGCGATTGGCGACGACAGCGCTCCGTCGACCGCCGTTCATTGTTCCGTCTGCTAAAAAGGCACGTACCCCATTTTGATCGATTCAATTGCGATTGCTTCGGGTTTGTGGTGGTTTACAGCTTCAAAGGCTTTCTCGTATGTCGGCTTTGAAGGACGGACGGAGCAATCAGGAAGATGGGCTCATGCCTTGCGTGGGCCGAAAGGCCCCCCGACTGACTCAGCAGGATCCGCTTTCCAGCTTCCGGCCGACGAATGGCGCTGAGCTCAATTCGGTTGACGGATGGATCTTTGCTTGGGGAACTTTTTGGCCCATGTCTGAAATTCCTCCAAGCTTGCCATTGCTAGATTCCTCCTGCAGATTCAGCCTCGCGATGCAGCCCGTCACCGGACCTTAGTTTTGTTCAATGTGCCGGCTGCTATGCTTGATGCCCTGTCTCGACGCAATTGTGCTTTGGTGGTTCTTCACGCGGGGCAATGCAATTGGGCTCGCAATGCCTCTGTCACTTGAATAGAGCAGCATGCCTCGGCCGGCGGCAATCACATCAAGGACTCGGCGCGATTCGACGAACAGTCCAAGTCTTGCCGACAACTTCACGCAGAAGCTTCGCTACCTCCAAACCATCGTCACGCGCACCCAGCCTTGATCCGCGCGGATCCGGCTACCCGAGATGTAGCCCAACTTTCCTGCACACTGTCGTCGACGTTCGCGAAATAAACAGCACAACTACATACACGAACATCGCGCCGCAACCTTCAGACAGCCCGCCTCCTGGACCCAGACCAGCCTTTTCTCAATCTCGGAGTGCTCGAGGTCTACCAACACAACGAGAACTCGACTTCAACACCAAAATCGACTCGGACGGCGACATCTGGCTTCCCGATAAGTCCGATGTTGAACTCGGCGAAATACCGGAGAACGAGGATGACTTTTCACCATGGCTCAATCTTCTTATCGCCGCAAGGGAAAAGCATGGGAGAGGGGGTGTGCTTGCTGTTTGGGAAGCTGTGCAACGGCGCAGGTCATGGAGGGACTTGACGAGCGAAGAAGCCAAATCGTTTTGGAGCATCATTCTGGAAACTGTGGTCCACGACGAGGGCAAGCTCAAGGGCGTTGCGCTATTTGCAGAGTGTCTTCGTCATGACAACTCTGCCCAATGGCCGTCGTTGTACCTCACGACAGTCTCACACTGCCTCCGAAAGGGCCAGTATCGGCGAGCACTGCAGTGGCATATGCGGTTGATGCCGAACTTCGACCCTGGACAGGAGGCCTTCGGTACCTTATTAAGACAATTTGCAGTCACCACCGAACCCGACATGCAACAGACATTGCAAGCACTTTATCTTACAGCTATACACCGCGGATTCTACAACGAGATCATCCCCCTCCTCTACGAGAGCGGTCTCTCCCAACTATGCGCTGGATGGCGTCACGCGTTCATACGTCACGACGATCTGCCTCCGCCTAATGCCGAGTCACAGCCGTACCTGAGGTTCCTCGCTCGCTACTATCCGACCACTGCCCTCGAACTGGAGGAACAGGTCGTCATTGGCTTGAACTCCAAGGCGTACTGGGACGCCCAGGACGACTCATTATGGGAGGCCATCAATGACACACATGGCGATGAGAGTGGACCTCCGGGAAGACAGCACAGCGATAAGCTTGGTGCGCGATGGTTTGCAAGCTCCTGGGTGCCTCTCGACTTTGCAATCCATGCCGTCCACGCCCTCGGAGTGCACCACATCGGCCCTCTATCCCTCCAGTCGATCGCCTTGCGCGAACCGACGGCCAAAGGGGTCATGGCCCGGATCGAGCAGCTGCGGACAGTTAACATCGGCATTGGGCATTCAGCCTACGCATGGGTGCTCAAACGTTTTGCTGAGAACAACGATGAAGAGCTGCTCGAGGAATTGCTGCACACGGATATACACCCAGATGTCTTTGACGACCCCGCGATGCTTGCCAGCATCCGTGACAAGGCCTTTGATGAAGGAGACTGGAAAACACACAGGCTGTTGCTGGCGGTCCAGCCGGCAATGGTGGAAGACTCGGTCGACTCCACGTCGAATATCTTGTTGCATCATTTCATCGACGAGGGGAGGTTCAAGCAAGCCTTGGCGTTGCTGGATGAGATGCGAACGATGGATATCGAGGTCCACGCATCGACAATACAGCACATCTCTGCGAGTCTTCTCGACCCCTTGCCGTGGAACCCAAAGACTACCGCACACAATCAGGAGGCGTTCTCCACAGCAATTGCCTTTCTGACACGCCTGACGTTGCTGCAGAAGCCTCTGCATTCGAGGTATTGGCAGAAGATCCTCTTCGGACTCGGCAAATTCGGCCGTTTTGGCGTGTTGGAGGAGATCAGCCTTGGCATACTGGACACGTATCAGCGTCTTTGCATCTCCAATGCCGGACTGCTTCCGGTCCACCCGCTGGACGCACCGCCGTTAGGCGTAGAGAGCTCGGCTAGGAACGTTCTTGTCCCGACAGACTTGCCCATATCGCACGAGCAGCACCCGATACGCCGAATCTTTGACAATCCTGCTCTACACGCCGCCATTGTTCGTTGGGGGTTCAAGGCAGGCGGCTCGCAATGTCTTGATTCTGCGAAGGATGTCTCCTCGGATTCAAAGACGACAGGCGGCGGGTTCTCCCTCGCCCGGGGTGTGCGATTGCTCGCGGTCCTGAATGATCGAGGCATTCCGTTCCGAACGTCCGTTGTCCAGGAGGAGGTCGTCAAGTGCTTGGCTCGGATGTACTTGTCCCGAGTCAACAGCGCGCCGAGGATGAATGCGGACTTGCCTCCGTTGAAGAGCACTCTGGAGTTGTTCAACAAGGCGGCTGGACGCAGACTGTTGCCGGATGTGGCAGAATTACAAGACCTCATGACCGAGGCACGGGGGAAGCAAAGGAGGGGACTATGACTGCCGAGCCGCGAGTGCAATCTCTCTTGTAAAAACAGCATGTAATAAATAACAATCATACACCAAGTGACAAGCGACGCCGGATGATGATTTTGATTATCATTGCAGGTCGATGATGGATCCCATAATCGCTAGACATTTGTTCTAAAATAAGAAAATTCATACATTTAGTTTACACCAACTTCTTCGTCTCTTCATTGAGGTGCCCCTGCCTCCCCTTTGGATTTTTACTCGTCGTCCCCGCCGCGTTTCTTGGGCTTGATGACCAAGAGGATGATCATGCCTGCTATAATGAGGAGGAGAAGCAAAATAATCTTGCGCTTGGTCGTCTTCTTCTGGTACGTGTCGGCGATAACGAGCTCCTTCTCGGCCCCCTTGACGTCCGTGGTCATACGCTCCACGTTGTAGTCTATCCTGTCCAGCATGGTGCCCTGGTCGATGACCATGTTCTGCAGGTCGCGAAAGATGTCGGCGAGCTCAATGATGCCCTGCGCAATGTCCTCGATTTCTTTCTCGCGCTGGATAATGGCCGCGTCGTTGGACTGCAGGAGCTTCTGCTGCGTGGCTTGGAGCGTTGACTGCGAAAAGGACCTGTCGGCGTCCGACTCGACCATGGACGGGTCCAGGTACGAGTTGGAGGGTTGAGGTGTTGATCCCCTTTCGCCTGGCACGCCTACGCCGCCTGCGCCAAGACCGCTCATTCCGCGCAGTTCTAATAACACTGTTAGCATGTCCTCCTCCTCTGCCCCCTCGACATCTCTGAGTCCGCGGGTACTTACTTTTCAAGTATGCGCTCTGCTTCTTTCTGAACAGCGCGCTAGAATCCTGCACCCGTGAAGCCAGGGATATCTGGATGTTTTTCGCCATGGTCTCCTCGGCACTGGTAATTGTCCCGGAATGCTTCGAGTCCCTCACCATCTGCTCGACCCGCTGGATGCAGCCATGGCAGTCGTGGAATCCCTTTGTGATCTGCTGCGTGAGCCTCTCAATCTCCCTCTCCTCGGCCTTTTTCGCATCCTCGTCGTTGAACCCTGGCAGTACATGCTTCTGGTGTAGGCGCTCGAGGGCCTGGCTCCGGGTAGCAATGTCGGCAAGCAGGTCGGTGATCTCGTCGGATATGTCGGCCCAGCGCGGAGGCAGGAGGTCCATCTCTATGACGGCGTCGCCATCGTCCTCGAAGGCACCGGCCGAGAGGAGACCGCGCGTGTCGTCATTGCCGCTGGCATAGCTGGTGTTCCCGGGAAAGACATCGCCGAAGCCATTCCCACCGGCCGCGCTACCGCTGTACTTTGTCTTTTTCGTCGGATGGTGCGCGTACGACTGCCGATAGGAAATATAGCTGTATGTCAAAATGCACTGTCAGCATAAGGGAAAGGAGCTTAGTTCTCGTCTAGCTAGGTAAAAGGTGAAGACGGTGCGGGTATTCAGTGGGCGAACAATGGCAGCTCGACGTACAGGTTCGTGCGGTCTCGCCACATAGCGGACGCCAGAGTAGGCCGCGATGGCGCTGCTCAGCCTGGGGTCCTTTGTCGCTCGCTGCGCGGGCCGCTCAGGGTCGCCGTCATGAACGAGAGATCGCAATTATGGAACAGGACACCATTGGCGTTGGGCGAGCACAAAGTTGCGGCGACGTGGATGGTGTGTGATCGGGGAGTCTTTTAGGAAAAGTACGTCAGATTAGATGGTTTAGTTGTGCCAAGGGCGGAATCGCTTTAGCTGTCTAATATCCGTAAAGATCCCAGGACCGGCTCTCAGCCTCGGGTCGCAGTAATTAATTAGCAGGAGCTGATTTGTGGCTGATTTGGGAGGTAGCCAAGTCGAGTCCTCAACAAAAGACAAGCACGGGATACGTAGGGATGCTCTTTCTTGGATCACGAGTCAAGGTGATAGGATGAAAAGGTAAAGTATGGTGAAGTACGTGGTGGTGGTTGGTTGATTATGCCGCCCTGGGTAGAAATGCGCCGACAAGCTTGCATTAACACGCTGATGAATTGGACAGGTATCGCATGCCAGGATGGGAGCCTTTGGGAACGGAGACGGATTGCGTCAGGTCCACGGGTCTTGTTCGGTTGCCTGCGGATTGAGCCGCGTGTGGGCCGCGCCAAATGGCTCTGTACATACCGTCGAGGCAACCTGCCTTTGGGCTGTCAACGCGGCACTGCTCGACGTTAATTGGTGCGTTACTCTTTATGTACCCGCCGCTTCAGGATGTCTTATGTCAGCTTTTTTCCTCTCTGCACCTTACGGAGTAGGTATCCGTCCTGAATTAAGGTGAAGAATGGAAGGGACGGGAAATACCTTAGGCAAGGCACCTTAGCTGTTGAGGTACAAGTGGGCCATGGCGTGGGCACGCCGCCTTGCCACCTGGCACCTTCCAGACAGTCCATCATCCTTTCATTTAGGGGGCCTTTCTTAGGGTGACACCGCCAAGTACAGAGCGACCCCTGGCACCACGGGCCCATCAGGCTGGGAGACGCGGTGCCTTTGAGGCTTTGACACGCTGAGAGGTGAAGCTACGGTCCTTGAAAGGCGCCCACTGCCCACCTAGTGGTTAAGGTACCGCCTATGGCATTGGCTGTCAGCCACATGCCGGGCAAGCAGCCTGTCAGCTTCGACCCTTCGACGCCCGCGGCCCCCCTATCGCCCGATATCCCCCCCCGTCTGCCCCATCTCTCTCCCCACGAGCTGCACACTACAGAAAAGCTCGACCCCCCAAAGGCATCCGGTAGCATCTAATCTGGCCAAGACTTGCGAATACTTTCGTGAACATCTTCCAACTCCAAAACATACGGCTCCATTCGACGTAGACCGCTCCCAGACCCATTCCCCTATTTTCTCAATAAACCATCGTCAACATTCGCCATGGTCAGTTGCCCACAATCCGAGCTCCGTTTTCTATCCCGCCTTCATGCTACCTACCTCTTTGTGAGGTAACCCCGCGACTGAGGGGCTACCGACGCTATTTTCGGCGAGCTGAACTGACACGGCTATCTTCAATCTAGGCTGACTCCCTCACCGAAGAGCAAGTTTCCGAGTTCAAGGAGGCCTTTTCCCTCTTTGTAAGTCACTCTGTGTCTTCCTACCTCATCGAAACATGACTGAGCTGACCCATCAATACAGGACAAGGACGGCGATGGTCAGTACCTCATCCCCCCTTTCCCTTTCTCTCGACCCCGCGCCCCTACTATTGCGACTCCCGCGACCGCTTCGATACGAGACCAGCATTAGCACATTTTCGAGACTTGGTCATGTAGATTTAAGGACACGGAACTAAAGAATTCGGACAGGACAAATCACAACCAAGGAGCTGGGTACCGTCATGCGCTCCCTGGGACAGAACCCCTCCGAGTCGGAGCTCCAGGACATGATCAACGAGGTTGACGCCGACAACAACGGAACGATCGACTTCCCTGGTAGGTCTACACAATAACAGCCGTCAACCACCCATACAAGATCGGCTCGCTGACGAATGACCTTGTGCAGAGTTCCTCACCATGATGGCCCGCAAGATGAAGGACACCGACTCCGAGGAGGAGATTCGTGAAGCCTTCAAGGTGAGAAGAGCTGGCGCAACGCGCATCTACACAGTGCTGACCAGAGACAGGTCTTTGACCGCGACAACAACGGCTTCATCTCCGCCGCCGAGCTCCGCCACGTCATGACTTCGATCGGCGAGAAGCTCACCGACGACGAGGTTGATGAGATGATTCGCGAGGCCGACCAAGACGGTGATGGACGTATCGACTGTAAGGAGACGTCCTACATGTCCCCGCTGACGCTGTTCATGTTGCTAACGAACCTTCCCAGACAACGAGTTCGTCCAACTCATGATGCAGAAGTAAGGCGTCAAGTTGGTTGAGCGGCTGTAGGTCGAACCCATCCACCGCCACGGTGACATTGGCCGCGCAGCATTTGTTTCTTGCGAGGAACGACACGAACAGGTTTCAAAGGGTCAGGCTGGTCAGAAGGTATCCTTTTTAGACCGTGGGAGTTGCCATACGAGAATAACCAGCGAAAGGACGAGTTTGACATTCGGACGGTTGAGGGGGGCTCTATGCATTCGTCTCGCTGCCAGCACGCTTGCCTGTTTCATTCCCGTTCTATCACGATGCTTATTTAACGAACACACACTCCTACACCTACACCGACACAGACACAAGACTTTATTTTGAATGATACGGGAGTTACGCTTAGAAGGGGGTCTCCTCCAGGGCGGCGAATGCAAAAGTCAATCAACCCGGCGCGTTCATCAATTGCCATTGCGAAGCTCAACGTTACTTGTGATCTAGAGCAAAATGTGTGTGTGTTGCCGCGGCTTCTCGGCGGCGAGTGTTACATGTTTGAATATGATGCCAATCACTGTGATGAGCTCTCACTTGGTTGGCAAATCGGTCTTTTATACCCGGACTAATGTCACATACGAAGAGGACAACAAAGAAGGTGTGTAAGCTTGGTCAGGAGACGACAGTTGTCTATGTGGATTGATAATCTTGATATCATGACCTATCCCGCTACCCATGGCCTGGAATATCCTGAACCAAAGAGCTAGGCCGGCAGAGCAATCTACCTTGGCAGGGCTGCAGGCACCGCCCCGATCTGCCCCTCTATGTATATCAAGTATGCGTATATTGAAGCAACCCTGGGGCTGCAATCACTTGTCATCACTATCATCTTGGTTGCTTGGATTGGCTTGGAAGATCTTGGTACAGTGCACGCGAGGTAGACTACATGTGGCACGATGCATCGCCGGTGGCATCCCCCGTCACTGAGAACCTAGCCTTCAGAGTCCAAGTTTGAAAGATGCTCTTAGAGCTGTGTGTAACCTGAATCAGATGCAACATGAGCAAGAAGTGGTCAACACCTCACCAGGTCTAAGAAGAATGTGAGGTAAGGTATCTCTGACTCTGGGATGAGTGTCGAATCCCAAGACCAGGCGCACAAAACCCCAATGGAATCCAGAGGACATGGATGCCAGCTACGGTACACGGCACGCTGAAGGACCCCTAAAGCCCCCCTCTTGCAGCCTCTGGAGGTCTGTCAGGTACCAAATTCGTTCACGCCTGAAATGTAGGGCCAA